ATCCGGGATCTGGGTAGTGACATTTTTCTCCTTAAGTGGTGCTTCTGAAGAACTTCTTGCCCTTTGTGACATCTGGACCTTTTTGAAACCGGACTTGATGACTGCCAGCACTGCCCTCCAAACCCTAAACCACCCTGCAGGTCTCAGCCCCGCTACATTCCTGGGAAGATGCATGGTTGCTTCGGGGGTCAGAACTCATTGTCGATACTTGCCGAGCACCCGTATTGGAGCTTCATGCGACTTGGGTCTAGACTCCATGTATACGACGTACCTTTGCTGCCCTAAAGCCAGTTCAGGAGTCGAACAAAATTCCCTTGATCCTACAGGCTTTGCAAGCTTGATATCTACGTCGAGCATAGGGCACCTAACCAGGAGCCTTGGGCACCACCGGAGACCACCACTAGCCCACTTGGAGACCGCCGCGAGCAGCGCAGCCCTATGAAAGCCCTGAAGAACCCAACCTCCTCAGCGCAGTCCCGGCCTGCTCCGTGAGGTAAGCATCGAAAGCCGCGGAAGTCGCCACGTGGCTCAGGTCAACGGATTTCCAGTCGACGACCGCCTCGTTGAGCACATTTCCTGCCAGATGCCTTGCAGAGACGGGCTCACCTACTTGCCCCCCCTAAGTAAATAAGCTCACAAACTGCAACCGAACTTAATGACTCCGAAGCTGTGGAAGCTCCTGAAGCCACCTGTTGTTATCGGTCCGTAGAGCTGAGGGCTTCTACAAAAGGATCTTTGCAGGCACTGGGATTCAAGTTTTGCCTTGGCGCCCGGAACGCGGAAATCTGCGTATGGGTGTGCAGCCATGGCTGACTTTCGACAAGCTGCTCCTTGTAAAACTGCCCATAGGAAACACCTTTCCTCGGTGACACTGCAGAAGCGAAGAACTAGTTCGCTCGATGATATGACTACGAGATAAATAAGGAATTTACCTTAAATCATATTAATGGATCCCACTATGTTTTACGGTATATTTCTTAACTAAGGAATACACCTTAAATTATATTTTCTTATGGATCCTACTATATTTTAGGGTATACTTCTTGACTCAGGAACATTGGAGTCTCCGGGCTTCATGGCCTCAACAAGCCGCCGGCCAGGGCACCTTTCTCAAGCTGAGAGATGGCACAAGAGGATAGACACGAGCACGTTACTATAATGAACTTAGAACCCTAGCCAAGAATATGTTCTAGCTGTTTCTTATGGATTATAATAACCAAAAATCAAAAAATCTAAGTACCCCTAAGATTATTCGATGATCGCAGGCGGGCAAGAGCAGGTCGCATTTGTTCACATCCAACCGAAAGAACATACCAAACTTCCGAGACGTTGGTAAGACATGAGAGATTGAGACAAGACTTGGTGAATGATGCCAGGATATTCAGGGCCTGACGGGATTTCAATCCCGTGCCCTTGTATTTGTGCTGCTGCCGCCTATTTCAGGCGGCGGCATTCTTCTGCAACGAAAGCCCGATCGGCACCCTTGTGCATCGAATCAATGCACGTCGGCGGTGGAATTCCCAAAACCCTCGCAACCGCAATCTGATTTACGACAAGAAACAGAAACTCGCGTGCATCATGCGATCTAGGCACCGCAGAGAGCCAAAACATGTGCACCCAAAGATTCTTATGTAGGCACTAGAGTCACTAGAGCCCTTGACCTCCAAACCCTTTTGCAGCTGGCTTGCAACGTTGCACTCGTGACAAGATGAACACCGGCGCTGCGAGTGACCTCTAAACCCTACATTCCAAACTGTCTCTTCCCGAAGCCGCAGACCTCCTCCAACCCTACCCCACGCCCACCAAAACACCGAAATACATTGAAAGCAAACCTAAACGATACCCAACCCCCCCCCCCCACCCCCCACACGAGAGAATAAAAAGGGGCGCAAAGCGTCTCTCCGAAAGTGTGGCTTCGGCTGACTTCCGGGCGCAGGCAATGCCGACCTTTGCCTCGCAGAAACCCACAGAGACTCCAATATCCCGGATTTAAGGAATATACCTTAAAGATATTAGGATCCCAATATTAAGGAATATACCCTAAAATGTATTCGGATCCCGATATTAAGGAATATACCTATTAAAATATGTTAGGATCCCGATATTAAGAAAAAAAACCTTAAACTATAGTAGGATCCATAATATGATGTAAGGTATATACCTTAATTAACGGATATTGGAGTCCCTGGGAAGGCATGCGACTGATGGGGTTGTATGATGCGTTGTGGGTTTGGGGCTTTAGAGGTTTCGGGTTTAAGACTTAGGGTTCTGGAGGGTTTTAGGAAGCTTTACGAGTTTTTGTTGGTTTTATTTTGGTTGGATGGGTGTCATAAGGTTTAGGGGCATTTCATAGGGTAAGGGTTTGAATCTAGACTCCGTTCTAATGTTAGGATTCTGTATTTGGCTTGCTTGTTTTGTTCTTCTTGTGGCAGAGGAGTTTCAGTAATCAGGGGCTGCATTAGGACAAATCGTAATCGTCATAATCATAACAACAGCATCAGCAATAAGTAGTCGTAGCAAGCCCAACAAGAATAGTGACTATGACGATGATGACGATGATTGCGTTCCCAATCAACACGCTAATGGGACGTGGCTTTGGAGTCTGCGCATCGAAGACTTGAGCTTCACCCTCCAGAACTCTGACTGCCTCGTTCTGAAGGTTGCCTCTTTCAATCCTTTGTGCTCGAGTTGCCCGTGCCGATTCTACGTTAGCTCGAGGGTATGGAAGCTCTCGGTGGTTCTCCTAGTACTCCGTCTCTTCTGAACGGTTTGCTTTGCTCTGGGGATGTGACACAGGCAGTCTCTGTGCCGCGTGCGTTCGTGAACCCCATCCCTGATTTCCTCGGCTGTAGCACGACGTGAAGTTCTATGGACAGGTTCCCGTTTTGGGCTTTGCTTGCTGACGACGGTGAGTGCCCCGAAGACAGCAGGAAAGTTGTGTCGGCAACACAGGTCAAGAAGGAAAAACGTGCAGTCAGAGCTCACTCACTCTCTCTCTCTCTCTCTCTCGCAAATCACTTATCCTTCTGTTACGTCAAACTTCGTGGCTGCGAGTTCTCAACACTTGGGCTTCCATTGTTGGAGAGGCCAACAACAGTTCGTCATCCTGAAACCAAACGTCTTGAGCTGCTGAAGCCTTTGGGGTCCAAATTCGGATCAGTGACGAACATCTGCGCGGCGCAGGAAGTCATCCCAGTACTTTGCAGGCCATCTATCCTGCGGGAAGGTTTATGTCGTTTAAGGCCTTAGGGTACTGCTTCTCTGTGATGCATGCTCTTAGTGTGCTTGCGTCATCCCACTGCCCCTCACCAACAAGTTGCGGAGCGCACCTGCGTTATGCAAGAAATAGAAGTGAATGACACACATGTGCGGCACTACTGCGAGCTTGACGCCATGTGACGCATGAGCGAGGGGATGAACCCCAAGTTCTGTTTGTGGCAGCTCGTGGGCTCATTGAGCTTTTTTTGCATCCACAGCTGCGGTTTAGACCGGTTTAGCGTTTCAGGTGTAGGGTTTAGGGACTTGAGTCACCTGCTCCACGACCAGGTGGTGAAGGAGGGGAGCAAAGAACGGAAGAGCACTGGAAAAGACAAAGCAGTGAAGATCAACCTCCGGCCCAGCACCGGTCGGCGAAACTGCGACGAGACACGTCCTACAACAACAGCCGCTAAACTTCGCTCCACAGGCTTTGCATTGTTCTTGCGCGTTGCCGACTGTCTATGCTTCTTGCTGCACCATGCTCTCCCCCGTCCTAGCTCTACATCGGCAGTCTTAAGAGAGAAGAGACCTTGCTTGGAGGTTCTGCAATAAAGTCCTGCTATTGAGGTCCCTTGTGCTCTGCTTTGCTTACTTGCGCAGTATTAATCAAGGGACATGGAGAGGGCACCTGCCGGGAATACCTCTGCCTTTTGTTCACAAAAGGGTCTGCTGGATCTCTTGCTACTAGTATCTGATTTCACCGATGACGATTTGTGCTGCGAGTGAATCCTGCCGATCGAACTTGGCCGTGCTTCAGCGCAGTGCTCCCTCTGCGCGGCTTAGAGCCTAGAGTCCGAACTGCATGGTGGTGAAACCGCATAGCTGCAAAACTGGTTGCTTCAGCGGTCTTATTTGGGGAAAGCATTGGGAAGCCCTGACCCCGAAGAATCCTAAACCCTTTTTGAACCCTATACAAACCTTATAACTACCCCATATAAACCCTGTATGAACCCTACCTAAACCTTATATAAACCCAATATAAACCCGAAACCACAGCAGCCTTCACCTCCTCCCAGAAGCTTCGGAGCAGCATCCACCCAAGGCCAGGGAAAAAGTCCGACCGGTACACAGCAGTGACGTTGCTGGCAACCTTAGGTTGGGAAATTTGGGAACCTAACATAGGGGGCCTTAATAATTAGAATATGGTTTGGGGGCCCATTTTACTACAACAAAAATAAAGAAGCAAATGTAGGGGCCTTCCCAATTAGAATCGAGTGTTTCTGTAGGGTTCCGTATTTATATTTATAGCATAGCACACCCCAAACCCCATTCTAATTATTAAGGCCCCTCCAGTATTTAACAGCTACATCAGGGCTTCCCTTCTTCTTCTCGATTGGGCTAAAATAGACGATGCTCTTAACCACAAGCTGGCAAGTCCATTGCAGAAAACATCCGACGAAGGTGTCCACCCACAGAAACCCCGTTGCAAAAGATCGGCTCCAATAGAACAATCATCAGACTGTACGAGCTCTTTCTACAGCTAGGGCAACTGATTCTCTGAAACGCCGCTTTGCGTGCCTTTATGACTAAACAGTGTTCCGACTTATATAAAACACACTCTGTTTATTCAGGAACCCCGCATAATCTTTACCGGCTGTTGCGACCTCCATATTACCTTCAACCACTAGGTGCTCAACTTCCTAAACCCATATAGTAAGCAGTAGGTGTAGAGTATGGTACCTGGTAGCACACAGATCCCGAATACTTAATACAGGGGCCAAAATAATTACCAACACGATTTTGGTGTTTCCCTATCATAGTTATAGCCCCACAACCCTATTCTAATTATTTCGGCCCCCTACATTATATAGTACCCTTATAGCTCCCTTGTAGTAGCCCTTATACAGACCCCTTTAAAGGAACCCTAGTCTAATTATGAAGGCCCCTAGATTATCAAGCCGGGCTGCCTCTGGTTTTCCGTTGTCACTCCACGCAGAAATGCAAAAGAGATCCTGGTTTAGGGTTTAATTGCTGGGTTGTAGTTTTGGAGCTTTGAAAAGAATTTTATGAATAGGTACCTCTATAGGAACCATAAGGGAAATTAGAAAGCTTCCCAAAATGCCACCTTCATTAGGGTTTACGGGTTTAGGGTTGCTCCAGCTAGCTCGCCAGGAGATCGTGTTGGGATTCCAACGTTTGAGGCCTGTGAGGGTTTACGTCTGCGGGGTTTGGAACTTCAGCACTTAGCGCACCAAAGACTTGATTCCAAGACCCGCTGCTGAAGCCACTTCCTTCCATACTGACTTACTTATCTATATATATATATATATATATATATATCCATGCTCTCCCTAAGCCCTAAACCACATGTATGTATACATACCCATATATAGACAGACCTGACTCGAAACCTAAAGGGATCTTCGGGCTGCGGGTTCGAGCTCAACAGGCCCGGTCTCTGGGTCGGCCGCAAGCAGCGGTCGCGTGGCATCGAAAAAGGAAAAGAAGTCGGGAGAGATCTCCTGGGTAGTAAGGTTTAGGGGCATGGGGCCCGTAGGGTTTAGGGTTTAAAGTTTGCTGAAAGGATCTCCTAACCATTTGGATGAATGTGGGGGCCTTAATAATGAGAATAGGGTTTGCGTTAAAGGGGTCAACAAGGGCTGCTATAAGGGCTATTATAAGGATTTAGTATAGGGGCCTTAATTTGAATACGGTTTGGGCGGTTCCTTTTTCTTCAAATAGCATAATTTACCCCGAAACCCTACTCTCAACATTAAGGCCCCTGCAGTAAAGGATGGGCTGCTGAGGCTTGAGCCTACGGGCATTATATGGCATTATATAGAAGGACATGAATTCTTTCTTCCACCAGCTTCCACCCAAGAAAATTTCGGAGTGTCCGCCCGCCAAAGCAAAACCCGGGCTGGCGGCTGTCCCACACAAGTTCCAGCAGCTTCCAGCAAAGCCGATCCCCGCGCAAAGCTTGGATCCAACGGCACGTGTCTTCGCTGGAAACTCACGGGCGAAGGTACAGCTTGAGTCATCTTCAGTTTTGGAGTTGATAGGAGTGGTACATTACCGTGTAATGTCGGAATCTGACTAAGAAACCCTGGCCCTATAACCCCCAAAATAGTAGGATTCATATAAGGAACCCCCAATAAAGACCCAGGGTTTCATTCATCAGGTTCCTACATTACACAGCATAGGACTGCATGCGGTGAGAATACAGACACCGCCTCTTCTGAAATCGAGCTGCCAGGTCTTCCTCCAAGAGGATGGCTTGCTGGTATCCTTTGGGGTTTCGGTGCTGTGTGGATTAAGGTTGAGGTTTGGGGGTTGGGGGTTTAGGGTTTGGGTTTACGGTTGGAGGGTTTTGACACTCACACTCGGACAAAGCCTGGCAAGGTCTATAGCGATTGTAGGTCATTCGTTGGAGGGTTTAGGGTTTAAGGCTGGGGTTTGGGGGTTGGGGTGTAGGGCCTTGGGTTTGAGGTTGGAGGTTTGGGATTTCGACACGCGCACTCACTGACGCAGGCACGGCTTCAGGGGTCCCATTGCTACCGTTGTTACCGTGACTTGCCAAACCATGCGAAAGGGCGTTCCAAATGGAGGCTTGGGATTTAGGGTCGGGGTGTGGGGGTTGCGGGTTTCCGGTTTGGGGCTTAGGACTACACGCAGTGCAACGGACAGCATTCTGCTGGCCGGTGGGTTGCAACTTGAATTCACCAAATTAAAAGCAACGCCGAGAGGCCCAGTGTGTCGAATACCTGCCCAAGCGCCCATCCGTAATGATGTGACAAGCGCTCGTAGCCCGTAGGCAGAAACCTCGGGAGTAGGGACTTGAGCAAGCTCTGCAAACTTGTATCGACCCACCTGGCCAACACGCAACTCTGTAGAAGCGCCATTCATTACAGATGCGGCCGTCCTGAGCTGTTCTGGCTGCCCCTCGGCAATTTCGGGTGGTTCGGCCACAGAGCCATCAAAGCTTCGCGGTTGGACTGCTTTTTAACACTAACACTCGGTTGATACCACGCGAGATATCCAGATTGGACTGTTAATAATGCCAAGCTGAGGCTTCACGTTCACTTACTTCCTCTTATGGCATTATCATGACGATGATAGCAATCATGGTCAGCAACAGGATGATGGCGATCAGGATGGGGATGTGCATGGAGACCGGCGACCCCGGCGACCGTGAAGGCGGTCTCTTTTCGGCAAAGAGGCGTCTTGGGCTGAAACTGCAAACGCTTGAACCTCAGATCTTGAGCTCTGGAGCTTTGGGGGGCTTGGGAGATACCGATGAGACAGCCAAAAGATAAGGAGAAAGGAGAGAGAGAGAGAGAGAGAGAGAGAGAGAGAGAGAGAGGGAGGGAGGGAGGGAGGGAGGGGGGGGAAGAGAGAGGAGATGCAGGGTCCAACGGTTGTGCTTCAGCTTGTTGCGCCGTAGCTGCTCACCGACAGAAGTCGAGCTTGTCCCGGTGTCAAACATGCACTCCTAGAAACACGGCCGACATCCCCGAGCAGCCTGCATCTGTAAGGGTAGATAGGGGCAGTTTGCTTCCGGACCCTGCTTCGCTCACTAGGTCTAACTGCAGGGAAACGGGACACTTTAGGGTTTTAGTCTAGGCCCTGAAAACATCCTCGCGAGGTCCCAGCAGCAGCCGCCCCGATCTTATGAATTCCTGTAAGGTCTTCAACACCTCCGCATCGTCGCCGTCCTCAAGTGGGTCCACTAATTGGGAGCAGGCAGATAATGTACAGAAAGCCGCGCAGTGGTTCAAGCCTATTTGTTTGTTCGCTTCTTGGAATGTTGATGTCATTGATGCCTCGAAGCTCACACAACAACGCATCGCCGCCGCACTAGGCAGAAAGCTTGAAACGGACAAAACTGCGTCCTGCGAGGCAATGACTGGAAAACGAGCAGGATCCGATCTCTGCTGGAAGATCGAGGCCAAAGCCCTGCAAACATCCCTACTTTGGGGAAGGAGCTTGGGGACATAGTTCGGAGTTTAGGCTTCCAAGCTGTCGGAGGTTAGCAATGTTTGCTTCAGGAAAGAAACATGGCTTCAGCACAAGCTGCTCTCTCGCTTGGACGTGGCTGAAGGAAGCTCGGCACTTATACACTTATACCATTGATCACCCTCCAACTGTAACACTGCTCTGCTTGGGACAGTTTGGGTTGTTGCATGGCACAGCTGGGGGCATGCTCTCCAAGGCTGCTAGATCAACACCCTGCATGAAAATTGTTGGCATCGGGCTCTACAGTACTACCGGCTGCCCGTGCTCCACCAAAGCGTGACAGGCCAAAACTCTTGCATTCCGGCTCACAGCGTAATGCGAAACAGTGAAGAACCGGAAAAAAACCGACTCCCACAGGTGCAAGGGCCTTTGGAGGTAGTTGGCACGCTTGTGGGTGATCATGAGAACCTCTGCGCTGTCGCCGCTTCGTTCACTGCACTGTCGGGGACGTGTCGTAGCTCGCACAACCACAGGACTCCATAGGACCATCGGGACCCTAATAAGAGCTGTATGCTGTCCCATGGTTTCCACGGATCGTGCAGAGCGAAAGCCTCGTTGTGCAGAACCCAGGCTCGAGAATCCGAGCAAAAAGTCGTCTCGAACCCAGTTCCAGGCAAAAGTTAGGTGATCCTGTGCCTTGCGCCCGCAACTCGATGGTGCTGGCGTTCTGGGTTCTCTTCGGGCCGCTAGCTGTGTACGCCTGACATGGGACACATACATACACATTCATACATACAAGCATGAACAAACCTACATACATACATACATACATACGTATGTGCATTACATGGCTTTACATTACTTTCTTGTATACACATTCATTCGTTTATGTCTACTACGTAGACTTCTTATACATTGATGCTCTCGGGCTGAGACGGACAGGGAGCCGGGCACATTTCCGCGGAAACGGGAGGCTCAGTCGCGAGTGTCGGCGACCCACCTGTGGGCGCATCTTTGTTTCTGGTATATATATATATATACATATGTATATATATAATGCACATGTATCTATTTTAATACTTATTGATTTTTTAATTTGAAATATATATATATATATATATATATATATATATATATATATATGTATTATGAATACATATTTGTATTGGCGTGACAGAGGCTGACCATGTCCAAAGTCGAAACGAGTACACAAATCTGTGGGTGGTGGTTGGTGGGACACATCGACGCTCCAGGCTTCAACCTCAAACAAGTCTGTTAAACTTGCCAATGCTTGCAGCACATGGTCAGCCGGACCGACGGAGAATGGAGGATGACGATGAACTTGAGCGGTAAAGCCTCCTCAGAAGCCAACAGTCTCTCAGCCTTAAGACACACCCTTCAAAGCCCCTTCCACAGGCCTGCTCCATCTCGCGACGGGAGAAGTGTGGCCGGAGGGATGGCTTGTGTGCGAGGCTCAGCGGCCGCATTCTGGGCCACGGCCTGCTTGGGGGGGTGCTCGGTGCTTCTTCATCTTCCGAGAAGTGAAGCCGAGAGAAAGGCCGCAAGGCACCCTTGAAGCCGAACTGCAGCAGATCTCCCAGAACCTGAAGCCTTGCTTTCTGCCACGGTTCGTGCTTCAGGGTGTTAACCTGGCAGTTTTCGTTGGGATGTCTCCACGTCTTCTCTAATGCGCCCGGAATCGCCCGGCCTGAGAAGCGCTGCCCAAGGCGGGCACGGGTGCGGGCACGGGCACTGCAGGCAGCCTCGCGTCCGCCGAGCTAAGGGCCAGTGATGGCGGTCTCGTCTGCTGGGTGTCGATGCCGCTGCTGCTCATGACGCCTGAAGTCAGCGTGTCGAATGTTCCGTAGCTGGCTCGCGCATGCCCAATCTGCCACATACTATGAGAAGCAGCATCTTGGACTACCCGAAGAAAATGGATCAGGAAAGGCGGTGCACTGCTCGACTTGCGCCGGGGGCTACTCTGCTCCGAGTGATTCTTTGACGGTGACGCTCGTTCCAACTCTATCAGATCATGCCCGAAGATTCGAAGGCTGCAGGCAGAATCCCCGATCAATCCATGCTCTCCATCCATCCCCGACTTGGCATCCTTTCCAACCCAAAAACCAGTTGCGAAGTGCCAGTTTCAGATCCATGACACTCCTCGCAATCACGCAACAAAGCGAACTATGACAGTTCTGCACACCAGAGAAATGCAACTAGTTTGCACCAGGACTTGTGCCCTTTTCTTGAATCAGGACCTGGGGAATGGCCTGAGCACCACCACCACTAAATGCATATGTCCTGAACACTAATATGGGGGTTTCATAATTAGAAAAGGGTTTGGGGGGGGTCCTTATTATAATTATGGTATAATAAACCCCCAAACTCTATCCTAATTATTAAGGCCCCCATATTATCTTGAGCCTCGCAAGTCCTGCACCTTCGCAGGCTCGGCTTGCATCGGGGGCGCTGCATCTGCGATCTGCGTGAGACGCGGGGGGTAGTGGGTAGCTGCTGGGTCGCAGGAGAGGGGCTTTCTTTTGCTCTCGCATTGTCTCGGAGCTTTGTATGTTCAGGCTCCGAAGGATATTCGAGGCGTTCAAGTTCAAGAACACCTGCTGCACAAAAGAAGTTGCCCCGCAGTCGACAACAACGGGGAGGCATGTGATCTTTGGCCGTTGTGGCCATGCTTCTCGCATTGCACGTAGCAACATGCCCCTCGGCACTGGTTTTTCAACCGAGCACACTAGTGATGAGGTGGCGAGTGTTGCTTTTTAGTCCCTCGCAGAGCGAGCAGGGTTTTAGGACGTGGGGCGTCTAGAGATTTAGGAGATTTAGGGGCACAGCAAAAGTAGCAACTTTGAACGCAACTCTTGCATTCTAAACACCACTTGCCTGACCACCTCGTAGCGGACAGGTGCCAAACATCCAGCGGTCGTCGTCCTGAGTACTACAGCAGTCACAATCCATGACCCTTAGAAGCTGTGTTCCGCTGCCTCCCAGTTCGAATCTCACAAAGGTCAACACCTTGAAGGGATCCTCTCTGCCCGAAAGAAGCCCACACTGCTTCGACCCTCTCAGCCGCCACTTCACAGACCCTTTGCCAAGAACTTGCACATTGCGGGAAGAAGGAGACGTGCCGCACCTCGCTGGCCGTGTACGTGCACCGGAGAGCAGAACCAGTTCTGCAGAAGCCGTCGTCTTTCCTGAGCAAGACTTTGCTAGAAAAGCGCGAGCTGCGACTGTTGGAAGCTTGGGCCCTCGTGCGGCTTGGGTGAACCTAGCCTCCCGTCTCACAGAGCCTTGCAAGGCTCAGCTCAAGTTTCATGATTACGGCTGCCAACACCAAACCTCAGCCTTGTCTTGCAGCCCCGGTTGCCAGCTCCAGCAGTTGCAGATGCCTCGCTGGCGCTGGCAGTTGATCATGCATTCCTGACAGCACGGACGGCTCGGAGATTGGTCAGCTGAGTCAGCCGAGTCTTAACTCTTTGCGATACTTTGGCTGGCCCTCGAAGAAAGAACTCAGAGCCCCGCGTTCCCAGCCCTGCGCGAAGCCTCGAACCTCAATCCCGCCCGTTTGCCAGCCATGTGCTCTGCGAAATCCTACTATGGGGGGCCTTAATTCTTAGAATAGGGTTTTGGGGCCCATTCTACTATAACTATACTAAGGCCCCTTACAGTACATGGAGCATCTCGGCGGCTTCTGAAAACTGCCCATCCCCTTCTCATGACAGACGACCGCTCCAAGGTTGCCAAGCTTCTCGGGGCGTGGCTATACCGAACTGCTCGATGCCGATGATGTTTTCTGCGGGGGGCGGTTGGGGTGTGTCAAGATCGGAGATGCTAATTCGTACCCGGGGGAAATGGTAGCCTCCAGCATGATACTTGCCAGTAGTAACCCCGTCATAGTCCCTATATCATTATGGTATCGCTTATTGTATATTCCAATGATTACGGCCCTTAATCTGTGCTCCTGTCGTGGATCCAACCTAGGCTTCCAAGGGCTTGCGACGAAAACCAACTCGCCCAAGTGGGCTCCGCCATTGCAGTCGAGCGTCTGTTGGCATAACCTGGGGTTGTCTCTTGAATTCTGATTGGGTGTGCGGTGACAACTCGAGCGCATGACAACATCACCCGCCTTCTCCGACGACCAAACCACGGTTTAGGGTTTTAGGGTGCAGTGCTCCACTTTTTTTCGAGCCTGCAGCTTCAAGACTTGCGGTCCTTGCGCAAGCTCAGCATCTTCGGCTCTGCGGCGGCTGTGGAATGACGCTGGATACTCAGGGGTTTCTGACATGTCTGCCTAACCACCCCCTAGGATTGCTTGCAAGGTTCCACGGCTCTTAGTCCCCTCTTAGTCGTCGAAGACGGTCTAAGGTCAACACGATGCAACTTCACTCCCAGCATTTCCTGCCGAAATGTCCCAGCTGTCATGGAAGCAATGCTCGGCCTGCTCTGCAGGCCCATTTCTTGGAGCGGAAGTCCACTGGCCTTGCCCTTAAACGGGCACCCTAGCTCGGCCTAGCTGAGGCTCATACTAACTAACTAAGGAGCCAGAAACCGCTATATCCCCAACATCTCTCTGAGCAGTGCTTGTTGGAGGCCGCGGGCATACCAAACCCACGATCGCGAAACCCTGCGCTGAAGTCCTCGAACCTTCAGACTCAGGGTTCGAGGCAGGTTAATTAAAGGTGTGGGACCTCCTACACGCACATAGACACGGCCTCGACCGCCCGGAATAACCAAGTTCAATACAACCACACAGGCCGCACGTCCTTCCTTATCAAGCCTGACCTTGTCGAGGCACTGTGAGTGCTTAGATCTCTATGGAAGGCTTCTGGACTTCTGCTTGGTTCAGGATGCTCAGCTGCTCCTCGCCTTCCACCAAGTCGTCGTGTGGAATGGTGCGGGCCATGAGCAGACAAATGAGGCCGGAAGGCAGCCAAAAAGCCATGCCAAGCCTGGGTTCTAGGTTTGGCCGTTTAGGGTTTGGGGCCTACCTGGACCCTAGCAAACCTTCCTTTCTTTTGGGGGGTGTCCCCTTCGCACGGAATACCTCAAACAACCAAATGTTTCGAAGATCCACGTCATTCCGGAAGGACAAACCCCTATCTCAATCCTAATTAGCTAAGCCTAAGCCGAAAACCAGAAACCTCGGCTAATTCGCCCGTATCTCGCCAGCGGAGTGCCCTAATATCATAAGCACGCCGACGTTGGCGCGTTCAGCCTTTCGGGCACAGACTTGTTCGACCCATAAACGCTATTTTTGAAACTGGGCTTTCTGGCTGCCAGAACATAAACCCTTGTCTTTTTGCAACTGGGCTTAGGGGCTAACCCCCAAAACCTTATTGAAAGTATAAAGCCCTAATATAGAAGCCCAAGAGTAGCTCCCATGGTAACCCCTTTAAAGGAATCCTATTCTAACTATCAAGTGCTGAGAGGCATGTACTAGGGGAGACTTAAGTCAGATCACTCCGCGTGAAGTCACATCATCCTCGTAAACTTAACCCACACCCAACCTCTCTCTCTCTCCCAGGCATTCGAGACGTCAGACCCACACCCAACCTCAAAACCGGGAACTTCAGATAGATACATTGCCGGGCCCTCTGGGTCTTGAGTCCTGTGCTACCAGTATGCTTTGAATGTTACGCGTCATCAGGATTTAAGACATAAGGTGGCATAAGAGATTCCGGTCTGGGATTTCGGACATGCGGATCTGGGTTTGGGGTCTCACCTTGTATTCGTTACTACATACACTGCTAGACCCCATCTGAACGCAGGGAGAAGTCCGGGAGAAGCCTAGAGACGACATCACCAACAGGGCACTGGAACCCATCTAGAACACCCACAAACTTCGTGACTATACTAGCGACTATCGCCCCATGAGCTCGATACAGGTAGGATATGTCGGAGATGCTATCCCCCATGTAAAGGCTGGTGTGATACGACTTCTCCCTTGAAGATACGACTTAAACGACTGCCTTGTAGTACTATGATTATAACAAGGAGCCCAAATATAGAACCCTTATAGTAGCCATTCTAGTACCCCCTTTAAAGGAATCCTATGAAACCCCTCTTCTAACTATCAAGTGCTGAGAGGCATGAAGGAGTTCCGGCGGCCCAGGTGCCGGACCCAGCTCGCGACCAGGGCAGGCCCCAAACCTTTGCCCAAATCGTCCATAATGTTGTAGACCCCAAACCTGGGCTCAGGGGTTTGGGCTCAGGTTTAGGGTTTAGGGGTCCCTGATGTTGTAGACCCCAAACCTGGGCTCAGGACCATGTTTTTTGTATAGAGGACCAGTTCTTTTTTGTTGAGGGCCCTTTTCCAACTGCATCAGCAGTGTTAGGGGTTTAAGGCTTAGGGTAAGGATCGGCGTTGCTACTCTTTTTGTCCCTTCTTGCTGGCAGTAACTAGCAGTTTCAGTTTAGAGTTTGAGTTTAAAGGGTTTTGGGGTGCCTTGTTGATACTATTACTACTACTTGTTGCCTTTGAATATTTCATATTAGTAGTTGGTAGTAGTAGTGGTAGTTTTGTCACCCACATCAAGTGGTAGTAGTAGTAGTAGTAGTAGTAGTAGTAGTAGTAGTAGTAGTAGTAGTAGTAGTAGGAGTGGAAGTAGAAGTAGAAGTAGTAGTAGTAGTAGTAGTAGTAGTAGTAGTAGTAGTGCGATTAATGCTCATAGTTTCGAGGGCGGGCCAAGGCTCACTGTGCCACGGGATTGAGTCGCGACTGAGTTCAAGAGGACGGCCTTGAGGTTCACGGGGGAAAAGGCAGCCAAGAACACACCCACCAGGGCCAGGATGTGAAACATGAAGGGGCAATCTGGCCGGTCCTGGATTCTAGTTTAAGGACGCGCTGACATGCTCCTTCAGTCAGACCATAGATGGAAAACTTGGAACAATGTGCAACCCAGCGTCAGTAGAGAACAGGATAAATAGCGGTAGCATTCCGCCCCACATGGTGAGACCTGTCAACCACGCCTGTAGCTTCTTGTCCTTCTTGTACAGATGCTGGCCTAGCTTGCCTCCAGCAATGGTACCAAGGATAAATCCCACACCCATGCAGAACAGTACACTGGTAGCCCCTGCCACGCCCATGTCATCATTCACAGCCAGATAGTCCGTGAGGAACGTGCCAATAACGGCCCAGGGTATGCATCCAAAAACCCCTGGGCTGAGGTTTGGACGAGAAGCAGACAAGGACAATCTGGCATTCTTACTTAACTTTTCTTCATTCCAACCAACAGACGAGCTTTCCATCACTCCAACTCAGTGTCCCTGTGAACAGATGCAAAGGACGGTCGGCTTGGTGAGTGCAGACCAGGATGAGACGTCGTGGCTCAGTTGTTGATCTTTGGATCTGTCAGGCTCTTCATGAATGAAGAACCTAAGTCTTTAATTGCACTGGATATACCATCAGCAAGATGCATCCTTCGCACGGCAAACCCTGTTAACAAGCGAAGCGAGATCATCCCGGCAACAGCAAAAGCGTGACACACCATCCAGCGATCCCGACCACAGCAAATGGTGCACGCCAACCTGCAGCGGACCGGAACGTAGTACAGTAAACTAGCTTGGTTGTTTCAAGCCGAGCTCTACAGCTATCACAAGACTACACTATAAAGTAAAGTAATAGGACAATAGGACAGAACCGAATAGAGTAAAAAAATCAAAAACAAATCAAAATATTTTACCCTAGGAGCCTGCAGCGGACCCAGCGAAACCGGCCAGAGATTGGCCGACTGGAAGACCCAGGCCCGAGATGATGCACACCACGCCGATCGCATGAGGCCTCTCCTAGCGGGCACTGATTTGGGAATTCGGGGACCCTTTTTGGGGGGGTCCTTATAACAAGGATCCTACCACTTTTAGGGTACTATATTAGCGTCCCCGATTTTCGGAATCTCCCATTTAAACTTTCTGCTGGTTGCAGGATGTTGCTGCTGCAAGATCAGGAACTCTTTGGGAGTTTGCAAGGCGGGGGAATCTAGATTGTAGACACGATGGCGACGCCTCTTAGAGGTTCGGCAAACGCCTTCGACCGTGCGCAATAAGACTGTCGCTACGCCGCTGCGTAATGGCGACATGTCCCAGGGTTTACTACTTGCTTTTTCACTGCTACGCGTCTGCTTTCCGACCTCGGTCGGCTTCCAAGCGCACGCTGAATTGTTGCTGTGCCCTACCAAGTCAGTTCCTATTGTCTACAGCCTGCACGACGGATGCTAGTACAGTGCCTAGGACTCGATTGTTGCATTTGCTTCTTGCCCAGTACACCCTTGTGCACACTTCTTGTTTCTCCGAAGCGGGGCAACAGTTGTTATGTCGGGTGGGGTGCGACCCTTGAGCATGTGATATCCCTAGATCATGCGAACCACCAAGTCGCCTCCGCCGGGCACATGTCGCCGATGACGGCGAAGCTCGTCGGGATGAGGCCACCCACAGCCGTGCCCACAGCAGCCCGTCCGAAGAGCAAAGAAGTGAAGCTTCCGGCTTGGGAGTTGCTGAAGGTGCCTTCGCATCTAATTCATGATTGAAAATGACCAGATCAACCTTAACCAAACACACAGAGTCACAAAGTGTACTCGCAACGGCAAGGCGGAAATGTGGTAAGACGCGACGGCAAATGACAAGCATCAGACGGCAGCTACCAGTAGGAGATGGAACGTGACAACAACAGCGCCCACAGCAACAACGGCAAAGGCGGTACCACGTGGTACCACAACGACAACAGAGACATCAGCGGCGGGAGCTTCAACAGAAGCACCAGCCGCGGCAGGGGCGATGTGCACCAGCAGCAGCGGCAGCAGCAGCAGCAGCAGCAGCACCACCACCACCACCACCACCGTCAGCACCCAACCAAAGGCAGCTATCTAGACGACATGGGAACGGCAAAATGAAAGCCTCCAAAGAACTACAACACCGTGGAGTTGCCTGTGGAGCCAATCAGCATGCAAAGGCAGACCAGGGTCGAGCGCTTCATGACGTCCGCGAGGCGGCCCACGATGAGTGAGGAAACCACCCCGCAGGCAAAAAACACGACACTCACCTTGGTGAAGCTGCATTGAAGCTTGGGCACAGTACCATACCCTATTGCTTCGAGTTGCTATGCCCCCCAGCTTCTCGTCCTTCTCCGCCCCGTCAAAGCCGAATTCATTGGCCACTGCGGACATGTTGGTAGACAGCAGAGGCTGATCAGCCAGCAAGGTCATCTGAGCTATAGCCAAGGGGAAAAGAGCGCGGTGGTGCGAAAGCTCAGATGCCACCGCCAGTGGGGCGCTCTTGATGACCTGTAGAAACCACTGAAGGTTTCGGCTGCTCGAGCTCGTCTCCACTTCCTGCCCATGTTGGTCATTCAGTGTTGCCGCAGGAAGGGCCATGGGCGTGTGTGCACACTTTGCACACTTCGCCCTAGCTCCTCAGGAGCACATCCGCATGGCTGGGGGAAACCTGTCAAGCCGAAAAGCGAAACAAACATCCGGGCAGAGTGTGCTCAGCAGAGACGACCGGCAGAGCCCCCAACAGGAGCCCAAAGCCCCACATAACCCGAACCTTTGGCAGCTGCCACAGTTGGGTTCGGGGCGAAAGTTGCTGACTTTGAGCTCCTGCTTCCATTCTCCCAGCCCCTATCCGGTAATCTGCTTTGCGAAACCTGTTATGGGCGCCCCAGGCCTTAGCTGTTAGCTCCAAGCAGCCCGAGCAACCAGAGCATTATTCCCTAATTAATTGTCACTGTAGCACTCACTTGGGGCGTTTTGGGAAGTGAACCTTTGTTTTAAGTCTCTCTTCGTGGCTCAGGCTTCCCAGCCCTGCTCTTGCGAATCTTCCAATGCAGCACAGGGGCCTCGCTCCATCGTGCAGCCCGTGGCAGGAGCCTCGCATGAGCGCTTCCAGTGGAACGGGTCTTGGGCGTTTCCAGGTGGGGACTGCGAATGCCTGCAAGTAAGTTGGAGCTCTCGGGTGCTGTCCTGAACGGGGAATGGCAGTTGTCGGGTCGTTTTCTCGTGCCTGTTTCTGTTTGACGCTGTCTCTTTCGCTCTTCTCAACTAGAACTTCAGCGATGCAGCAGGATGCAGCGCGCAGTTTCTGGGCATTGCAGTCGCTTTTCCTGGAACGTTCTCAGGGCACTGCATCGCAGCAGAAGGAGCTCTGGCTTACAGGAGAAGAGCAGAACTGCCCAGCAGCATAGCCGACAAAGCGTTGAACGATCCCTGCGAGCGCAACATGCCGATGGCCAAGGGCGATGCTATTCTGGCAAAGCTTGAGATGGAAGCCTCCAGCACCAAAAACCTGCTGCGCCGGTTTTCAGGTGCTGTGCTCACCACCACCCCAGGCAATGCAGCGAAGGCCAAAGCAAGCCCGAAGGCATAGAGCAGCAATGCAGGAGCCAGCAAGGCAGGAAACGCACCCAGAACCGCGAGAGCAGCCGCCTTTGATAGGATGCCTAATGCACAGGTCTGCTTGACTCCCATCCAGCTCTTCAGTGGCTGAACCAGGCCTATCTGGCACAGGAAGATGAAGATAGAAAGGAGGGACAGAGTGCTGCCCAGCATGGATGTAGAGAAATGGTACTGCCGCAGAAGCAGAAAGGGGATGAAGGGGTTTAGGAGGAATCTGACGGATGAGAGCACCAAAGAGACCCCGAGAGACCGCCAAGCACTCCAACAGAAAGCGCCTTCGCTGCCTTCTGCTTGAGCTTGGTCTTCCCCAGGACTCTGCAGTGTCGTCGCTTTCCTTTCACGGCTCTCCCTCCTTGGGAGGACCGAGATACAGATCAGCGCACCGCCAAGGCAGAGAAACGCGATGAAGCAGAAGGGAATTGCCAGGCCAAAGAGGTCCGCGACTGCACCTCCAAAGAAGGGCCCCAAAGTAAAGGCGATTTGTCCGGCGGCCTCCCCGTAAGCCAAGCTGGCAGAGAGTTGATCTTTGTCGGGCAGGCTCTTGACCAAGAAAGATCGCAGGACTGGAACGATGCCGCTGCCGAAGCCTGCGATGCCCCGTGCGAGAAAGATCCACTTTAGCGGCACGTTCTCCAGCAAAGCGAAGCCCAAGTAAAACCATGCCGCCGCGGAGATCGCTAAGCTTCCCACCAAGGCTTGTGCAGTGCCAGCTCGCTCACTCAGCATCGGCAAAGTTATGTTTCCCAAGAGCTGCCCTAGAAAAAAGCACGATGTGAAGGCCCCGACATCCAAGCCGCGTTCAGTCAAAGCTGGGCCGAGCGGCAAGCCACAGGTGAAGCCAAGGAAGCTCATGCAATAAAGGTAGTAGATGGCCAGGAGGACTTGCACGCGAACTGCCCCAGAAAACGGTCGCTGCTGCCACTGGCCGCGACACGCCAGGAACCAATGTGGACGAACAAGTTTTCGACTTCTCCAGGATCCCATCACCGCCCCACCCACCCTAGGTCACTGGCAGTCAGTTCAAGAAGCAGGACTAAACACCCTTAGATATGTAGAAGTAGAAACCCTGATAGAACCCCCTAGGAAACCTAAACCCCCAAAACCAATAAACTAGGACCACGTGTCAAAGCCGTTCGTGTCAGTTCTTGGCCACTCCAAGCTCTGCGGAAGCACTCCGCCGAGTCTCGCGGTCGGCTGAAGGTATGTTTGACGGGCGCCGGCAGGAGCGGCCGCCCATTGCAGACACTTGTCGGCCACATCATGGCGGCTGACAATGACAGACGTAGTTACCGTGGCCGTGCCGACGATTGCTAATTACAGCATCAGTTCATGCTCTCGACTGAGCTGCAGGTGAGAATGGCCTTGTCCACGGCAAAAGACTCCAGGGCAAGCCGACCCGAAACCCTTGACCCTTGATATAAACCGCTGAAATGAGGATTTTGATGGGGATCCCAACTTTGAGGCTCTCACGTAGGAGGTTGTTTGTTAATCAGGTGCTGCAATACTGTATGGCACATTAGGAAGGAAGGAACTGCACAACCTCGAGCAATGCCCTTCCGGTGGCCGCTTTTTCATTTTTTCAAGTAAGTCCTCTTGCAGTTACCGCGCGTCCTTATACTCATTCTAGGGTTTAAGGTTTGGGTTTAGGTCTAGGTCCGATGCCTATGGGTACTTTCGCGAAACCCTCTCCTACAAGGAGGCCTTATGCTGCTGTTTAATGCAGAAGGCGCGGTTTCCCACATATTGGCATGGGGACCGAAGCTGCCGCAAAGAACATAACACCTGCTGAGGAGTTTTGTTTTCGTGTGCCTCCTTCATTGCTTGAAGAGGTTAGGGTTTTTGGGGTTTAGCGTTGAAGTGTGTATTCAGAGCTTACAAATAGGAACTCCGTCGTGTCCACAATACCCTCAATCCCCTTCCCTTCCCGACGCCCGCCTCCTCCAATGGCATAGGTGGTGGTGGAGGCGGAGGAGGCGGGGGCCTGCGCCACACTTATATCACTATATCGTTTTGAGGGTGGAAAGTGCTGACGCAACAACTCAAGGAATCCTAACATCCTGCAAGCTCAAGTCTTCAGCAGTTATAAGGTCAATCCACCACTTCCAGAGTAAGAGTTGCAGGATGTATGGCGATGAGTAGCTTCCAGGCACTACATGCAGTTTTACTGCGCAGCCTAATCTTCATTTGATCGAAGTATTTCAAAAACCAATCCGCAAATCTGACAAATCTAAGCTTTCATCGCAGCAGATCGACAAATGGGGAAAGCTAGCGGCTAGCATCCAAAACCTAGAACACTTGGTTGATCTTGGTTGGTTGTCAGTGTCTACGGTTGCCGAAACCAAGTACAGGACAAGTCAACAAACCTGTGGAAACCAGACAGAAAGCCATAGCACGGCGTGCGCAGGCTTTGAATGGCACATGTACAACCCAGTCCACATAACCGCACGAGAACCTCAAAATACACAGCGGGCACCAAGTCTTGTGCTGGTGTCCCTGCGTCCCTACGTCTTGCACATGGTCTTTGCAGTTCTGGGCTCTTGCAACGTGCGAAAGGAATGAGAACTTCGGGACCATGCACTCGACTCTACATGGGAAGCTCCAAGACAGCAAGGAGGTTCGATGCTGCGTGGGAGCAGCCGGATCTTCCGGCAGCATGTGCCGCAAAGGGGCACGATTGGACCGGACTTACGGCCACGAAGTGAGACTAGCAACCTAATGGTATTTCTATGTATCTACCAAGATATGGACAGTGCAAGGAGCACATCAGCATGTCACAAACGCGGAAGTCCGTGTCAACATCCACTTTAGTGAAGCATGCTGAAGCCCTCCTCGCAAGCTTTGTCAGTTAGGTCGTCTTTCAGGATTGTGCGGGTCAGCATTAAGCAAAAGAAGCCGGACGGAAGCCAGAAGAGCATGCCTAGCATAAAGGATTCCTTTCTGCCCAGGTATCGGACCCAGCTGGCCACCAGCGCAGGCCCAAGGCCTTTGCCCAGGTCGTCCATGATGTTAAACACCCCGAAAACCCTGCCTCGCGATTGCGTCGGCACGGCGTTCAGAAGGACCGCTTTCAGGTTCACAGGCGACATGGAAGCCAAAAAGACACCAAGAAACGACAGGAAATGGTACATCCATGGCTGGCCAAAAGAACCGGCGAAGAACAGAATCAAGAAGGGCAGCATGCCTGCCCACACGGTAAGTCCCATGAGCCAAGCCTGCAGAGTCTTGTCCCGTTTATACAAGCACTGGCCCAGCTTGCCACCAACCAGGGTGCCTGAAACGCAGCCCACGCCCATACTGAACAGTACGGTGGTGGCAGCTGGAACACCCATGCCGGCATCAACAGCCAGGTAGTCCGTAAAGAACGTTCCCACGATCGACCAGGGCACACATGCAAAAATGCTTTGAAAACACCCGCAAACTACGGTTGGCCTAGAAAGGGCAGCACACCATGACGTGTTGTCATGGTCAACACGTGCACAAGCTCGCTCAGGCTCTTGCTGAATAAAGAACAATAGAATCGCAACGAACCAGCCGGTTACGCCGACAATCGCAAATGGTGCCCGCCAGCCAGCAGCAGTCCCAACAAAGCCAGCCAAAGCTTGGCCAATTGAAATCCCAAAGCCTGACACGATGCCGACCACGGCAATGGCATGAGGACGCTCGTCTGCCGGGTACAAGTCCCCAATGATTGCGAAGCTTGTTGGCATCAGACCACCCGCAGCGACACCCACCGCACCGCGACCGAACAACAGCGAAACGAAGCCATCAGCCTGGGAGTTGGCAAATGTGCCGGTAGATCCGATCAGCATGCACACACAGACCAAGTTCCTGCGTTGCATGACGTCGGCAAGCCGACCAATTACCAGGGAAGCAATGGCTCCACATGCGAAGAAGACGAGGCTCACGATGCCACCCAGTTTTTCGTCCCTCTCCGGCCCGTCGAAGCCAAACTCTGCTGCGACGGCAGACATGTTGGTCGACAACAAAGGTGGGTCGGCAAGCAGCACCAATTGGGCCAGGGCCAAGGGAAATGCCTTTCGGTGCCGGGACACCTCGTCCAGCATGAGCGACGGAACCTGCAATACCAAGCGTGCAATTCCTTTTCCATCTGGGGCCGGTCTGCTTTCGCCGTCCATCTTTTCGTCGGCGTCGCGGTCGTTTCGGACCACAGTTTTAAACATGCTCTTTCGGCCTTTACGGTGTCGGTATTTCTGCGTTGCATACACATCTTCTGCTGTGGCATCGTCCTGCTTCAATGTAACACTGCCTACTAGCGGCTGCTTCGTATACAAGCTGAGCTCGCTTCATTGTCATTTACATATCCTGTGCCGAAGCTGCTGGAGCCGGACGAAAGCAGCGCATTCCTGTCCCACAGTACTGCTTAATGTTGGCATTGACAAAGCATCGAAGCTCTCCCAAAATTTCAAAAATGCAGGAACCACAGAACCGTCCTGATCTCGAATGCAGGAACTCGCGGCCCCTGCGAGTCCGCAGCCAATGCTCCCGTCCACAGCCTGAAGCACCGGAACATGCATTAGCACCATAATTCGAACCAAATGCTCCGTGCTGATTTGTCTTTGTCTCTCTCGCGGGCACTTCCAAACTCAAACCAAACAAACTGCCACTACACTTCAACAACCCCGGCAGCAGCAAACGACGCAGTGAAAAGCAAGCATACTCGCAGCTTACTGTCTGAAGCTAAATGAAGGAAAGTTGCCGGTACACTGCAAAGATGACCATGGCCGTCGAGGCCCCCAGCAACACTTGGAACCGCAGAATGTGTGCTGGACATGTTCTGGCAGTTCGTCGCTCCGGCTCTGCGTCCTGCAAGGATGACAAAATCTGACTTCGCCCCTGGCGCGTCAGATCCTGTTGTAACAAGTCAAAATGCCCTACTGGGCCAGTCCTCCTCGGAACGCTTTGCTGCTGACTCTTTCTTCTTCGGTGGTCGCACGCTCGCCTTGTCCAATTTCTTCTTGTTGGGATGTTTTAGCGGCATGGCGGCTGCGGCGGTGACATCACTCTGACCGCCACCGGTGTCTCCCGACCTATACCGGCATCTTTCACAAATCGCCCGTCACAATTCTGAAAAATGCATGTGAAAACCGTGCATGTTGTAGAGCTGCTCAGTGCTATGTGCCACAAATAGAGGCTCTTACCTCGCAAGGCATTGTACTCGTGACGACTTCCAACTCCTTGATAAACCATGCATGCTCTCTTGGTTACACCTTGTTTGTTGGACTTTTGTGTTACTTCTTTGTGGCCCGTGTGCAGTTCATTTGTTGAGGCTACGTAGCTGCAGCAACATGTGACCAACTGCTGTAGCTGCACCATACTTTGCACGAGAACAACCTCAAGTCTCCAAAAGATTCTGTCGCTAAGGCAGCGGGCCAAGATTTTCAGTCAGGATCTTACCAGTGAAGGGACAGGACTTGCCTCTGCGTTTGTGACGGGGGTCAGCCTTCTGCTGAGTTGCGAACCCCGAATGGCTGGCATCGAAAAAGCACAATTCTGGTTCAACCTCACCCCGACGTCCTGAACGTTCAAGTCAACAAAGCTTCCTTGCTCTCGTCGCATCGAGTGCTTCGTGCCTGTGTCTTTTTCAACACTACCACTCTTTTCCCCGGAGCTCTGCGCATCACTTCGCAAGGTCACAACAGCTATACGCTGCAAATAGGCCTCAGTTCCCTGATGCCCCGCACGGGTGGCATGCATCCAACAACTTGTCGAGACCCTCGATGGATTCGGGCAGTACCATGGAAACACCCCACACGACATATCTGAAGATGTAGAGCAATTAGCATATCTCTCACTCCTTCATCCGGAGCTCTTGGGATGCCCCGTGAAGTCAGTCCGCCAGCCAGATACATCCAGATACGCTGGAAACGTGACCTCTGTACCCTTATCCCTAAACGTAAATGCTGGAGCCACAAGTTCACGCTCAAAACCTCGATGAGGTACATGGCTTCAATTAGCCTGCATAGTTTGGGAGTTTACTGCAATAGTGCTTTATGAGGTGATATTAAGCAAACAAACCACGCAACGGGGTTGGAAGCACGGTCAAAATCGCTTTACGTTGCCATGCTGCCTTTCAACATCCACATCTGAAATGCTCCGACGACGAAGAAGAACCATGAGCGTGGCTGTTTAAGCTTTCGGCATGAGTCATGATCTGCTGGCTCACCAACGCGTGAGCTGTACCTTCAAAATCGAGTTATGCAAGTCGATTACATGGGCTTACCACTGATCCTTTGCCCATGCTTCGGCCACAGACAACCCACCCAAAACATAAACTTCGTATGTGAATCCGGTCAACATACATGCTCGGACAACCTCTTGAGCTGCTTGCTGTTGAGCCAGAAAGCTGGGGGAGCGTGTGTGTCTATGCGAGTTTCGTCTTGGTGCTGGTGTTGCACACAAATGGTACCTATTGCTAGATGATGGGACAACGTGTTCAAGGCAGCCCGTGCAGTCTTGCCTGTATGTTACAGAGCCACAAACTGTCTCAACATCCCAAACTGCATTGCTCCATGTCAGAACTTCTTTGAGACACTCAAGACTTTTGATCTGTGTAATGTCGGCAGCAGGGCTCGGATGTTCCATGGGATGCTGCACGAAGTCATGGGTTCCCATGCCACGGCCCAAGGCAGCTGCTTGACTGTGCCGAAGATGCCCCGCGTGTAGGGGTCCCCACTCTCATGGGCAGAGCCAACAATGCCCTTGCAGTGATTGTAAGCCTCGGCGGGGCCTGAGGTCCTCTGTTGTGGGAGGGCGCCGCTACGCAGCATCTTCCCGCAATAGAGCCATCAACTCGCCGACGTGCTCACCGATGCCCTTAGAAAAGCCAGGAGCCCTTGCTCGGCTTACTCTGTGCCCGGCGAGCCGGGCACAGCCCTTTCACTTGCGGACTTGCGCTTGTCGAGTTTACAGCTGATGATGAGCGAAACTTCCAAGCCACCCACTGCAACGGACGAGCTGGGAAGGCTACTGCCAGAGAGGTACCAGCCGCACCCGCGTCCCAAAGCGAACCGTTATGACCTCACGTTTCTGAATGTCTAAAAGCCGCACCCGCGTCGCGCACCCAAAAAGAAGACACAGACACAGACCAGGCATACCAGGCCTGCGTGGAGACGCAGTCCCTTCCAAAGCCGCTTTGGCCCTTTTCGAAGCCGGGATGTGGAACCCCGAGCCGCGAGTCCTCCCAAGCTTCAGTTCTCCGGATGCAACGCATCGCTGCGCTGGGTACGCAGCGAGGGCCATCTGCCTGGTAGCAGAGCTTGGTGGTGTTTTGAATACAAGGATGAGCAGTTGGAGGCCTCAGCTTCTCAAAACTATGCAATGAGGCGAGGAAGCCGCGCGCAAGCCTGTCTTTGAAAGCCCGGCCGGAGCAGACACGAGGCCTTTGAGGGTTTAGGGATCGGGTTTAGATTTTAGGCTTGAGGTTGACCCCATCGGAAGCTGCCGACACTCAGAGAGTCGCTGTCCAACGGAACCTTGCAAGTCGAGGCTCCCAAGCCTGGGCCTATCACCTACCAGAAAGGCCTAAGACCCCCAAATTCCCGAACCTCGAAACCCTCCTGGTTGGGCCGCAGAAGGATGGGGAGCGTTCGAGGGGCTGGAGCTAATTAGGGCTTAGGATCACAACCATTTTAGTGGCTTTGGTCGGCAGGTAGGGAAGCTGGGCCCTGCAATGTTGGCGTTTCTTGTTCTTTGCCAGAGATTTTCCAGGTTTAACTTCAGGACCGTAGAGCGCTTTAAGGTTTGAGGGTTTTGACATGCGTGATCCCGGTGCCCTGTTCACGCATGTGGGATGCCGAGAGCGCGCCTTAAATTGAAGATCACACTCCTGTCCTAGATTACAGTGCCTTGCAAGACTTGCTTGTAGGTTGTGAATGTTCGCAAATTGAGGAGGATTTCAACTTTCGGAATTTAAGAACTTACAACCAAAGCTCTCTGGCCTAGCTCCCAGACCCCCTTGAGCTTGCGGAGGTGAGGGGGACTTTGCAGACTGCCACGTGGCACTTTCAACGTCCCCACCCCACCCTTTCAAGGGATTCTGGCGCAGTTCCAACATTCCTTGAGACGAAGCGTCTCCAGAAATCAATCAGGCTCCAACCATTTGAGTGCAATCTACCCGGGCCTGGGGCTACGGCTACACGACAAGTATCCGGTGGGAGGCAAGGTGAACGTTGCGCCAGACATCACGCAGGGCGGGCTCTGACACGCATGAGGGGAGCCACTCATGGCAACGTGCCGAGCGGCTGCGCCCTGAAAGCCAGGACGCAGGAGTGTTTCACTGGGTCACAAGTGAGCTTTTGAATATCTTGAGCTGACATTCTTCGAGGTTGAACTTTGCAGAGAACCTGCTGGCTGCCGAGGCATACAGGTTAGGGGCCAGCGGGAATTGTTTGGCGCTTTGAAGCCTGACTCGTTTTTCTCTAGCGCCTGCTCAGCTCCGGCCCGCTCAAGGAGGGACCTGAACGATATGGGCCACAAGACCTCCGATGAGGCACTTTCAGGCAGCCGGCAAGAGGTCAGGAAACCTGGGCACGGAAGGATTGCTGCGCAGCGTCTACGCCCACGCGCCCCTTCTTTCCAGACCATGCAGGACCATGTCCCGCGCTGCAGGTATAGATGTTTGCCTGACAAATCTTTGCATATCCGCTCCGCGCGACGAGAGCCAGAAATCTTTGACGCTTCAACGCCCGAAGTTGCAGGCGTGCTTGCCACCTCCACTGGAGGCTGAACTGAGATACTGCTCCATGCAGGGAAAGCCTCCTCAACACCGAACTGCAGAAAAGCGGGATAGACCCCTGGTTTCTCCCATGAGAGCCACGAGCTCGCAGCCCTTCGCATCGGGCGTTTCACTGCGGGTTGAAACGTGAGTCGCGAGCCACTTCTCTTTCGACCGCCTCGTCAGCTTCAACGGGAGCAGTGCCTCTCATAGCTCACGGCTGGATTTTGCATTCGGCACACCAGTGACAGTCACATGGCGCGTCGAGTCACGCGTGTCCCAAGCTCAGCGGCTCCTGCAAGCAAAACCCGAGCAGAGCCCTCCAACATCTTCGCTTTAAGAGTGGACGGCACGTGGTCAGCGATGGTTTGACACTGGCACTCCACAGTCGCACGACCTGCGAGTTCAGCTGACGGAGGAGGTCCATGGCTCATGTAGAGCATCGGTGACATAGAGCGGTGAGCATCTGCAACTTTCTGGATCTTACAGGCACTTGCATTCCAAAGAAATTTCTGCTCGCCTTCACAACCGCTTTTGCTCGCTTCAGCCGCAAATGGTGCAGGAGCTTGCGCAAAGACACCGCAGTGGCGTCTACCACACCTCGGACATTTGCCAGCGTGCCGTTAACGTGCCCTTCTGTAAGATTCGGCAAATATGGCAGAGCATCTGCAGCGGCAAAGGCAGTCTGAAGCCAGTGTGCGGGTGGGTCGCTTCTTCCCGCAGAAGGAGGCGCAGCTGCACCAAGCACGCACAGGCTACGCTGGCGCTGCCTTCCCGCAAGCACAAGCTCAAAACAGAGGCGAGAGCTCAGCGGTCCTTTCAGGCTGGCAGCAATTGGCAAACAAGTTCGAAAACTATATACCCATGGAGCCACAAACCTGAACAAAAGGATTCTGCACTGCTTGGCAGCTACCATACCATGTGAAAGCTGTTTGAAAGGCCAGGCGTCTGAAGGAAGGCTCAAGGGCGGGCGGCCTGCAGTGATAGCGGTCGGATGAAGCTCTGAACTCCCCTTCTGGACATCTTCGCGGAATTGAACAGGTGCCTGTCCGAATCTAATTATACAGCAAGCTGCATTACAGCCTGAGCACACGCACCTCGTAGGAAGCCTCCTCGCCTAGTATCTGGCAGTGGCACATCTGCCGCACACGAAGTCTGGCCAACAGCGTGGGTGGAAGGCCGCGTCGTTCCGCGGAAGAGGGCTCGGAGAAGCGCCCACACGCAGCATACGTCCAGCAAAAGTGTGTGCAGTACTCGGCCGGCTGGGAACACAAGTTCCACACTGACGCAGAAGTCTCGATGTCCGGAAGACGCTAGGTTTGACCACCTTCCATCGCATTGCGCCCCGAAAAGTTCTGTGGATGCATGCGCTTCGCGACAAGGCCTGCCTGTAGCCTGCAATAGTACTGCAAGCCCGGCAAGGCTGTGAACTGCTCCTGGCATCATGCACGCGACCTCCCCAACTTGTCAAGGGCATGTCCAGCCTGCAAGGATATTTGACATGAGGGTCAGGGCAGGGACGCTTCGGGTGACCATGCAACGCCATGCAGCATGCGCCCCACAAAACACATGCATGTTTTTGCAGATCTGGGGTCTCAAGAGACTGGCGACTTGAGACGCTGGACAGGGAGGGCAAGCGGCACCGGAACGCAACCCTGTGCCATAGGCCGTGAGCTGCGCAAAATCCATATAGGCTTCATTAAGCCATTAAGCCTAATCAGGCCCCTCGAAGGAGGAAGCCGAGCAAGCAAGCACAACCGGGCCTAGTGAAACTGGCTGCGAGAAGGCGTTTATGCCTTGTCGGAACGGCACGTGCGTCAAGTTAAATACTATAAGCACACCTTCCGCGCTTGAGCAAAAGAGCTGGGCCGCAACCGAATTATTTCATTGCCCGAGCCGTGGGTCGTCCGATGATCCCTTGCCTGGCACCTTGCACCACCCTTGCAAAATCCTGGCGAGAGCTTGCGCACGCACAGCATTCCAAAATCCAAAAACATACCCTTGCGCCAGTTTGAATGCACAGCGCAGGAGGCAGGCGATGTCCTGGGCCCCTTTAATCTTGCACTGGCTGTCAGCACGCACACCTGTGCTGCGAACTCCTGCATGTGCATGCGGCCAGAAGAGACTCGGCTTCCCCTTAAAGCTCAGCGAGCTACAGGAATGCACCGAGACTGCTCCAAGCTCAGGAAGTATAGCTCGCCAGAACAGCGTGGCAACCTGCAGCCTGAAGGCCCGCTCTGAGAAGCAGCAACCAGGAACCATCTTCAGGAGCTGTGTGTGCCGACTCGTGACAGTACATCGGCATCAGCCTTGGACTCGTCGCTGCGATTGCAGGCCGTACATGAAGTCGGGGGTTCTCAGTCCCAGAGCAGCGATGGGCACGGTAGACGCAAAGGCAGTGCACTGTGCAGTCCTGCGAATGCACTTGATAATTAGTTCCCTTGACCGCCGGCGAAGGCAAAGGAAACTGGGGGTTGAAAGAGAAGCTCCTGTCGATGGAGATGTCGTGCTATGCCATGTCGGCAGTATGGATCGGACAGCTCCCGACAAAGGCATTCCTGCCCTTTTGGGCTGTGCGGTCGGCGGAGTCCTCCGTCACGTGCAAGCATAGCCTGGCCCATGCCGGTACTCTCCCAGCTGCAGAGCCCTACGCTGCGCCGAGGGTATGCTCTTCCTGCGCCTCTTCAAGGTGGGAAGCCTTGCTACACGAGCGTCCGGCCCCGCGCACGCACTCGCAAGCGGCGCTGGCGCACTTGTTGCATGGGGATCCTCAGCTTTCCACTCATGGTGCCGGGCATTTTTGGGTGCACGCCAGCCGGGCAGTCAGCTCGTCTTCTCGAGGTTGACGCCCGCAGTGCCTGGCGTGCTGTGCAGCTGTAGCAGCATGGCATGATCCGTGGACATCTTTGCAGGTGAGGAAATCCAGAAGCACGGCAAAGTGTTCCTGACCCCATGGTCCTGCTGTGGCGGACCACATGTTGTGATGGAAATAGGTCAGGAACAAGACGAAACATAGGAGTCTCGGGCAAAGGGAGAGCGGAAGGCAAAGGGAACGGACACCCGCGCCTGCAGCACAAGCTGAATCAAATCGCACTGATGTTTCGTACCATGCTTGATTCGGTCTTATTCAGCATGGAGCCCAGTGCACATCTGAGCCCATTGCAACTTGCCTTGATTCGCGAAAAGGCCGTCTTTTTTTTTTTCAACGGACTTTTCCGACTGCAAGAGGATCCGGTAGCTACGACAGTCCTACGGCATCACATTACTGCGTGCGGTCCCGGTTTAGGGCCGCAGGGGCGCCTCGTCAGCGGCGAGGTCGAGCACACGGTCCAGTGCTGGGCCATCGCCCGGCCCCGGCGCTGGGACGGCTGGCCACGCGCGACCCAAAGCCGTGCCTGCAACGGCGAGCTGGACTGCGACTGACAAGGCTCCCCACCAGCGTCGCGCCCACCCAGAGGACGCGGCGCGACGCAGTGCGGGCGGCGCACGGAGAGCTCGGAGGCGGACGAGGTCGCGGACGAGATGCTGCGCTGTTGCATTCCAGCGGCCTCCGATTTCCGAGCCCAGCACCAGTAGCTTCTGCGGGCCGCCCCTCGCGAGCTCCGGGTAGGTGCTTTGCTTGCGCCGCTCCGCGACCTTCAGCGCCGCCCCGTCCACTTCCACTGTGCATGGATGCGGGTGCCCTGTCCTCGTCGGGACACCAGTGTCGCGTCGCAGCACAGCGCCCCGCCATTGGCTGTGGCGCCGTAGACGACAAGGTCAAGGCGCCGACGGTCTTCGGTTGGGACGCCGGGTGTGTGGGCGAGCCACTGCTGTGGCACGACCTGGCCTTCGGGTCCTACGGCCTCGCGCGCCACGCGGACCCAGGCGCGCTCGACCACCTTCGCACGTCTGGCCAACAAGCCCGTCCGCGAGCAAGCTAGGGCATGGTCGCCTAAGGGGTCCATGGCTCCACCACATCCGGGGCTGGGGCCGCAGCGGCTGGGGCAAAGAGGCAGGGGCAGGCGAAGGCGTCGTCGCAACGCGATGAGCATGGGATGCTGGTTGCCTGGTCGCACGGCACAGCGGTGAGCCACGCTCCGGCATGCGGCCCTGCCTGGGAGCGGAGCAGTGCACGCGAACTGGGCGGCAAGGAAGGCAGAAGCACGCAATCGCGAGAGTGTACGGTAAGGGTCCGCGACGCGTGGTACTGCCAGCCGTGCGGCCAGTCCCCGGCACCAGGGGCTGCAGGCGGGGCAGGACGGGCTCCTTCGAGGAGCACACGCCATGTTGGGCAATCGCTCCATCCTTGGTCCTGCAAGGTACGGCGTGCATTCAAAGCAGTGCGCTCCCCTCCGGCGTCGGACTCGAGGAGGCGCGCATAAGTGGCCGCGCTTGAGGGCAGGCGCGCATTGATTGCAGGCAACGCATCCGCCCAGGAAGCCCAGTAGGCTGCAGGCGCTATCGCTTCAGCGGATAGCAACCCCAGCCCGCCCAGCGCACCTGGCAGGGCGGCGACCTGCCTCGCATGAGCGGCTTCCGCGTCGCCCATTCCGCCGAGCATGGCTTGCAGCGTGGCCCATATGGCATCATCATGTCCCCGCGCGTACGTCGCAGACGCCGAAGGGGGCATGGTGCGAATGGCATGGTTCGCACGAGGGGATGCGCACATTAGCAAAAGCAACCATGCACACTGTAGGTCTGGCAGCTTGGGCAGTTGGTCGAGGAGCTCTTGCTCGGCGCGCAGCCTATCCTCGGCCCATGCTTGCACGAAGGCAGGGTGGCCCACGGGCGAGCCAAGGACGACGACACCCTGTTGGGCGTCTGGCTTGTCGCCTCGCCACACTTCATCGCCCAGTTCCGCAATCCCGGGCGGAGCTGGACCTGCTTCGGCGGCGGTCACCCGAGTCTTGCCCAAATTGGACGCGATGCCACACCGGGCTTCGACAGCGTGCACGGTCGTGTCCAAGGCGGCTCGCGCGCGACACGGCTGTGTGATAACATACAGGTCATCCAGAAAAGCGACGAGGCTGTCGTCTGGGTGAAGCGCCGCTGCCGCCTGTTGGAGAGCATCGTGCTGTCCCAGTGCGAAAAGCGCGGGAGCGAGGGCGTCCCCTTGCTCGCACCCTTCACCCTGAGGGACATCCCGGCAGCGGCCAGCGGAGTCCCACCAGCAGTAGCTGGAGGGGCTCCCGTAAAACAGGCGCACGAAGGGGAGCAACTCCGGCGCCACCTCGCGGAGTTTGCCGAGAAAGGCCGCCCGCGACATGCTGTCGTAGGCGCTGCGGCCGTCCAGCGACACCAGCACGGCGCCTCTGCGTATCGCGAGGGCGGCACGCACGTGGGTTGCGAGGGCGTCTGTTCCAGCTCGCGCTTGCAACGCAAATTGGAATGGCCGCGTTGCCTGGTCGAACTTATCGGCCCACTCCCTGGCAAGCGCTTTCGAAACCAGACGGCGGAACATGTCGCCGGTAGCGATTCCACGCACGCCCCCGTCGGGCTTGCGCAAAGCGGTCAGGCGAGCCATGGCGAGTGCCTTGCACACGTCAGCTGGCACGCGAGCCTGCGCGAGAAGCGTGGAGGCTTCCGCCAGAAGCTCGATGGCCTCACCATCCTGCAGTAAAAGCTTCAAGTGTTCCGCTCGCATGCCCGAGAGGCCGGGAGCCCCGCCACGACGTGCGGAGCGGAGGGCGGCGGCGATTGCTCGCGTGCTGAGGTGCACCGGCTGGGACGGTTGGTGCTGAAGGACGTCCTGAGCGATTGCGGTCCGTGCCTCGGGAGGACGGCGTGCGGGGTCGGTCAAAGCGGCCCACGTAGCCTCGTTTCCGGGGGCCAGGTCGCAAGCAGTAAGCACCTGACGTGCGCGTGAAAGTTCGCCCTTTCGCACCTTCGCGCATGCCTGGTGCCGTTTGCGTTCGGCGATCTCGTTGGGGGGCAGTGTCGGGCTGTCGCGTGTTGGTCGGCTGACTCGGCGTGCCGCTTGTATCAGCTGGAGCCACTCCCCTTGCTGAAATGCTGCGGCCCGTCCCAGCAACTCGGCACGACCCTGCGAGCCTTGTTGCTCGGTGCGCGCAAGCAGCATGCGGGGTGCGAGGAGGAACAGCTTCCACGCCCTGGCAGCATCTGTGCCGTCGGGGTCGATGCTGGCAGCGCGTAGGCGTCGGAGTGCCTGCACGAGTGCTCCCCGCACCGCTGCACGCATGAAAGGAGGCGTATCTTGCAGCGTTGGAGCTGGGTGGCGCAGTTCGTCAACGAGGTCGACGCCATCCAAAGCCCTCCACGCCTCGGCGTCGGCCTCGGCAACTCGGCCCGGGCAGATTGGGACCGATTGGCAGTCGTCATTAACGTCATTCGCCGGCTCGGCGTCAGCGGGCCGTGGCTCGCGGGGACGGTCGCGTGTGGAACGAGCGCGGCGTCCCCGTCTGGAACGTCTGGGGGGCGGACGCGCATCGTCGTCGGGGCAAGCACGCCGCACGTCCTCTGCCAAAGATTGAGCTGCCGAAGCGATTGCGACCCCCCCGTACGTCTGGAGAAGGGCCACTTGTGCTGCAGCGGGGACGTAACCTTGTGCATTCATGCAGAGGGCGAGTGCGCTTGGTAGTGGCACAGGCGCCGGCGGCATATGCGGCATAGCGGTCAGCGCTTCAGCCGACGCAACGTCGGCCGCGGCCGCTCCGTGAGCCGGGTCGCGGTCGATGCAGGCTAGCTCGGCGTGCAAGAAACGGAGGATGGTGGATGGCAGTGCGGGGGCCGCTCTCCGTAACGCTCCCGCCAGCTCAGCGAAGCGCGTGCCGATGCGGGGGTGGGATTGCCAAGCCTGCGTAGCTGCCGGTGTCATTGCGCCGGCACCGGCGTGGAGCAGTGGTACGAACAGCCACGAACACGTCTCGCCTGGTGCCTGGTGGGGTGGGCGGGCGTCTTGCCAGCACAGCGGCTCGCGGGCAGGGGCTGGCAGCAGCGTCGGCGATGCAGGTGGCGTGAACCCTGGAGTGGCGTCGCCTGCTTCGCCCGGCGCCGCTTCCCCCGCGACACCGGGTGATGTTTCACGCTCCAGCTCGCGAGGCGACGCGAACGGCGTCTGTTCGCTGAGCGTGTCGCACACCGTTTCTGCATCGGACGTAGCACCCGCGTCTGGCCGACGGAGGCCCATTTGCTCCAGCGCATGGAGAGCACGATGGCGTCGCTGGTTGGTGGTGTCGTCTCCCGGGCCTGGGTTGGTCGCCTCGCCGATTCGTTGACCGTTGTAAGGGTGCGGCGGGGACGCCCTGGAACAAAGGAGGACAGTGGCTCGTGCGTTTTCGGCTCCTGCAAGCGGGGCTCGAGTGCATGACAGCCAGGAACTGCGCTCGCCGGGCGCTGAGCTCGGCGGGCGAGCATCCTGCCATGGTAGTGGCGCGACGCCGCTGGCAGGAGGCACGACCTGCCGAGCATCGTAGCCGGTGCATGCTCCGCCCTGATCCGTCACCGACGGTGTTGATGGCGGCGTGAAGCCCCGTGTCGCCTCTCCTGCTGCGTCTGGTGCCATCGCGCCCGTGAGCGCATCTGGAGCCTCTCCACGTGGTGACGCGAAAGGGGTGATCGTGCTCAACAAGTCCGACAGGGTCTCGGCAGCATCGAGGTCCGCTTGGCGGTCGCGCAGTGCGGCCGGGCGGGTACTGGGGAGCAACTGCATTTGGGCAAGCGCATGCATGGCTCGTTCTCGGCGTTGCGCAACGGCAGCGCCGCATGGCGGGCCCGGGTGGGCAGCTTCCCCAACTCGCCTGCCATGGCAGGGGTGAGGCGTCAGCTTTGTGGACGCTGGTGCCGCCCGGTCGTGCGTCGGCGCGCGGGTCGCTGGGCCGCACCATCGGCGACCGCATCGTCGGCGAGAAGGTGAGCCAGCAAAGAGGCCGACGTGCGCAGGACGTGCGACCTGATGCCTGCGAGAGTTCGTCCAACGCCGTCTCGCCGCCTTGCAGTATGTACTGCAACACCTCGTGCCGGTGCGGGTCCTGGGTGCGGGCCGCGAGCTCGCACATCAGGGCCTCCCAGTTTGACGGGGTGTGTGGCGATGGGCGACCGCCCGCTAGCGCGACGACCGCACTCACAGCTCGCCGGGAAAGAAGGCCGATGAGCACGCCCACGACCAGCCAACCCCACCCGAGAGCAAGAGGCCCAAAGCCCGGGGTGAAGTACCGGGGCGTCGCTCCGCTGCAAGTAAGGGCTGCGTGAGCCATGCTTTCCCTGCACGTCGGCGGCAAGGACGCGGCCCACCAGACAGCCGACGAAGCCGCCGAGTAAGCACCGGCGCATGCCGACAACAGCTGTCCGATCACGGCTGCCGACATGGCATGAGGCTACTGCCCACCAATCCTTGAAAATCGTCTTGAGCCCTCCCTACTTGAGCGTCACTGTCACAAACTCTCCTGAACTATCTAGACATCTTTCTTTGCCAGAGCTGGGCCACCACAGAAGACCGTGGGTCAAGTGGTGTCCCATGTAAAGGGGTTATACGTAACTATAACTGTAGCTACTTTACTGATAAACCTGCTTACCAAGTCCCATGATCCTTTAAGGATCAATCGCGTGGACCACCCTCGCGCTCGCACCATGCCTTGAAACAGCTTATGCACCACGGCCTAGGACAACACCGGTGAACCTGGAGTTGCAAATCCCCGCAGGGAAGCCCTCCTCAGGTTACTTCGCGGAGTTGAGTTAAACTTTGGATCGGAGGGGCTACAATAGCAGCTACTGACGTGACGACGTCGACTGAGCGGATTTTGGCAAGGACGGAGGCGACGAAGACAATTTGAAACACCAGGGCGACCAGAAAAAGTAACCCCTTGCGTCCGTGCTGGAGAAAAGCGTGGAGGGGTTGGGGAGTTTGGGCGTGCAAGCTCACAAAGAGCATGAAAGGCCAATGCAAACATCGTGGACAATTGCAACGCTGGACGGTGCACGGCCATCTTGTCCGTCCCAAGTTGGAGTCAGCCTGGAGTAGTCGAGGGTTCAGCGTCTTGCGGAGCAGAACCTCTGCATCCTCACCATCGAGAACCTTCAAGGATTGTGCAGCAAACGGATGGCTTTGTACGCGTGCTGTGCATGTTATCACCCCTGTGGCATTACGGGCTAGGGCACTGCACGTTGAATCTTCAACCCTGAACCCCAAAACCTACTCTTGCGAGTCCGGGCATTGGAAAAGCAAAAGGAAGGACATGGCTTGAGCATCACCGCTGATTTTTGAAGACTATGGTAGCAAAGACCACCTGGAAGGGGTTTTGCAGAACCTTCCTGCTACTCCCAACTCGGTGAGCCTGGTGAAGCTTTCCTTGCTCAACTCTGAGGACACAACGCATGCAGTTTTGGCTGGTCTCAATTGTGCTTCCCCATGAGGCGGCAATATCCAGGACTCGGACTCAGAACACAAACCTTGCCTTTTTCATCAAATTACGATTATTCTTACTAATTAGCGACGGCAAGGTCGCTCACGAAGCATTTGACTTTCAGGTTCCTTAAAACCTCAAAGGAAAGAAGTCCAAGGGGCCTCCATTTGAAGGCATTCGACTGGGGTGTTCTCCCATCAGCTTGCGAGGTGCACTGCTCTTGAATCTTATGTTTCACCTGCCTGGGAGCTAGATTTGGCTTGGTTGCCAATGCAATTGTGCCATGTGGGCTGCGGCTTGGACCTGTCGGCACCTCGGGCTGCGCTGCAGATCAAAAGAAAGGGGATGGTCGTCTCAAAAGACCTCTCCCTGAATGTCCAAACTGACAGAGTGGCTTGAGCAGATTGCTGCGCGGACTCGGCAAGCTCGCTACGACGTGTGATGGCGACTGCACCAAAAAGCAGGACGACGATCTGACCCTCGTGCCTGGTACCGTGTCTGATTTCAGGCCCGGCCACCTGATTTCAATCCCCTGCTTTCATTCAATCCTTCAGCGAGGACCGCTTAAAGCACCACAGCCACTCCATTTGAAGGCATTCGACTGGGGTGTTCTCCCATCAGCTTGCGAGGTGCACTGCTCTTGAATCTTATGTTTCAACTGCCTGGGAGCTAGATTTGGCTTGGTTGCCAATGCAATTGTGCCATGTGGGCTGCGGCTTGGACCTGTCGGCACCTCGGGCTGCGCTGCAAATCAAGAGTAAGGGGATGGTCGTCTCAAAAGACCTCTCTCTCCCTGAATGTCCAAACTGACAGAGTGGCTTGAGCAGATTGCTGCGCGGACTCGGCAAGCTCGCCACGGCCGGCTTGGCCGGCACAGCTAAGCATTGGTTCCTTCTTCGTGCGGCATTGGGTGATGGCGACTGCACCAAAAAGCAGGACAACGATCTGACCCTCGTGCCTGGTACCGTGTCTGATTTCAGGCCCGGCCACCTGATTTCAATCCCCTGCTTTCATTCAATCCTTCAGCGAAGGCCGCTTAAAGCACAACAGCCAAGCCATAACGGCCCCTAGCCGCTGCGGGGCCCAGCTTTCAGTAGCACTGTCCGTCGCCCCCTAATTCTCGGAAAAACTCCCGCATAAATCCAACACGCTCACGCAGCACTTGACTTTCAGGTTCCTCACAACGTCAAGGGAAAGAAGTCCAAGGGGCCTCTCCATTTGAAGGCATTCGACTGTTTTCCAATCAGCTTGCGAGGTGCACTGCCCTTGAATCTTATGTTTTCCCCTTGCGTACGTTCGCCGATAATCGCACATGGGAAGTCTCACATGGTGCGACAGTGGGGTTCCGTGATGTACCTGGGAGGAGGCAGAGCCACCTTGCAGTTCAAACGCACTGAGAGTTGGGAGTTTTTTGAGCATCTGGGGCATTCTTTCACTCCGTGAGCCTTCTCTTGGATGTTGGATCCTGCTGTCCTACAGCTGCTTCCGCAGGTGTTGCGGCGGCTGCGGGTTCAACTTGGGAAAACAGACCCTTGGGAAGGCGCAAGAGGTTGCAGGCGCAGCCGTGCGCCGACCTGGCATCCAGCACTTGTCTTTCCAGTAGATTTGGGTCTCTGCCGGGGCTACTTGGAGAGTCACAATGGATACAACTTTCGGGGTTCTTCGTGAGAACAGATTGAGGAGGCATTGCAAGGTCGGGAAAACGTACGCAGCCGTGAGGGACTCAATCAGCATTCCTATTTCTCTGGAAACTTCCCGGACTCCGAGAGCCTTCAATCCACAACATATTCCTTACAACCATTTCGAACCTGCGAACTCCCCAGACCGCCCGACCTTCTGATTCAAGCTGGTCTGCAGGATGTGTTGCACGAGCAACATGTGACTGAGACTCATCCCTGGAGGGTTCAATCTGCGGGCGGGCTTGGTGCTTGGGATTTCGATAGGTCGAACTGTGGTAGCTACGCAAACACGAAGGTTATCATCATCAGTTCCAATGCTCCGGTCTAGGAATCCGCAAGTGCAGAATCCTGAGCCCACAACACCACAATCCTAAACCTAAAGCTTCGTGCTGGTACACTCCAAGCCAACCTAACTACGGAAAGCTGTTAGTCGGATGTACTATTCATCTAGACAATAAAACAAAATGATGCTAGAAGGCTTGCAAAACCACGTTGACGTGCCCCGCCAAAGCCTCAAAGAGATGAGGGCTCTAAAGAATGCTTTCTTACTCTTTAGAATATTGCACGGATCACGTTGTTGGTGTACTAGCCAAACTAGTGGGTTCGGGCACACACACCCGATACCCCAAGGCTTTGCTGTGCAAATCCGATGCTGAACAAACAGCCCCGAAGAAGATATCATTGCAGCATACAGCAAACGACTGTACGGATTGAACTGTGCCTGACATACACCTGCGTCAAGCGCTAATTGCTTTCCCTCTCGCCCTGCCGAAGCTGCGACATAAACCTGGCCAACTCGCATCTGCTGATAGAGTTGGTTACAATATGTCAATATTATGCAATACCACAGCATACCATACCATGCAATACAACAGAATATAATCCAATCCAATCCAATCCAACCATACCATACCCTACCCTACCATACAATACAATGCAGTACAGTACACTGCTATACAATACGATTCAATACAATAGTGTGCTGCACCATGCTATGCTCTGTTTTTCCATGCCATGCCATGCCCCACCAAACCAGACCATGTTATACCTTTGCCAATCCATACCATTCTAAACCATACCATGCCGTCCCTTACGAGGCTAAAAAACTAAACTACGCTAAACTAAATCACACGTATACGTTGCTACACTACACGATAAAGCACTATACGACAGCACACTGACTATACGGACTATGCTGTACGGATCTGTGCTAAACTGGGTACCATATGTACCATATTATACGATACCATGCGCTGGACCACCACCGTCTGAAAGGTCCAGCACCTGACAAATGGTTGCCGCTAGGGTTGAATATTTGTGAGTGTTCGTGTACTCACTTTTGCCCAGACGTAATCCCCACAAAACCTCCATCCCAGACCCCCGCTCTAAGACCATGACGATGTTTGTGCACAAAAATGTAAAAAGCTTGGGGAATTCCAAAAGCCTTGCAGTTGAATCAGCCCAATCTTTTCACCCGTTCTGGGGTCGCCGCGAGGGAAGTGCGCCTCTGGGACACCACCAACTTCCGTCTCCATCAGAGAACTGAGCTCGTGTTTATGGTTTTGGGTTGAAACACGGAAAAGGTTTAGGCCTCACAGGTTTTTTTGATGCTGCGTATAAAGGAGTTAGGGGTGCAGAATTGGTAGTACGGGAGTCCTTAAGCTTAACATGGCCAGAATATGGCCTAGCAATGCCATGCTGTACACCTTGGGGGTGACGGCTGCTCCAAAACCTGAAGTTGCTGGCGCGGAGCAATAGCGGTCAACAGCGCAACGTGGCGATGGGGCAACACCACATCCAACTGCAGCCGACTGGCTGCGGGTTAAACTTTTCGGTATAAAAACTAGTGATCTTTCGATGCTGTGACGTTTTGTCGGGTACCCAAGAAGGAGGTATTGAACCATGATCCCCAGCGCAGCTGCAAATCAAGATTGGGCGTGATTGCATCCGTTGCTCGCGCTTGCTATGCGTTACATTTTTGCTTGTGCCTTCCCTCACACACAGGGTCGGAAATGGGTCGAGGAAGCATATCTGTTTATGGCGACTCGGTTTCTTTTTTCCAACCCCTGTCTTTGCATTGACCATGAATTTCCTTATGTCGGCTCCAATATCGCTTCCAACCCACCCAGCTGCCGCTGTCCCCGCACAGTTGAAGCCCTTCGCAACAAGGGGTCCGGGCTGTCGCATCCCCACAGCACGCCTGCGCCACCTCCTCGAGTTGCCGCCTGCTCTTGAGCTCACCTGCCAGAGCTGCACGACGCCTTGGCCGATTCTCGGGGTGACCAGCAGCAAACCGCCAGTAGCCCGACGCAGACGGAGGTTGGACTGCCTTCGCAGTCGTGAAAAAGCGCTGTAAAAATGAAACTGTGCCATTTATTTACACACCATCTGTTTGTTTTTTGTCCACCTCCCATGGCCCTATGTCCCCTGCCCAACACAAATCGTATCTGGGGCCCTTCATGCACAGAGCCCTTTGTGATGGTTTAGGGTGCGTGGCCCGGGGCCCGTATTGGGGCGCGGCCAAGGGGTTGAAACACGAATCAGAAGGCTAAAACAAGGCGTCGCCGATCGGGGAATTAAGTGTATGCTTGCTTCCTATGTGTGCGGGGAGTTGGCTGGCAGCCGGAGCGTCGAGCCTTCGCCGGAGGGAAAGCGAGCTCCCCAGTCGAACAATGAGTTATCGAGGGACCCCCGATGATGACTTTTGAAATCATTTGAACGGCGAATGCAGATTTTTTGTTTTGTCCGGAACCTTCTCCCGGCAGCCCAAAGTCCCGAAAGTGTCCCGAATCTCAGTGCCTACCTAGTCCAACAGCAGCGCTCCTGCCTCGGCACTAGCGAAGGCTGGCGGCCCCACATCATCGCGGAGTCTTGCCACCTCACCCGCGATGCAAGCCATACGGCGAACGGCCGCTCGTAGCGGTGCCGCAACGCTGGCTGCGCGGTGGAGGTGGGGCGCTTGGAGGCGCAGGAAGCAAGCTCCATCATGACCATGCACGCACGTACCTTTGGCACCGTGGAGTTCGGGGTAGGTTTGGCGCAGGTTGCATAGTGCTACGTTCTGTTCGGAGATCACGTTGCCGCTTGCCCACGGTTTTGCGTGTTGCGCTTGCGAGGGGGCGAAATCGAGGGCGGCGGCCAGGGTATGCCGGGAGGCGGGCGCTACTCCTCTCGCGATGCATGCACTTTTGCGTGATCTCAATATGGTCCTTGCGGACTGGCTAGAAAAGTAAGAGAATTCATTGCGAACAGCTTGCCTTTGTGGGGTGGTGTGCACTGTGCTGTTGACAAGTTGACACCACATTCGAGTCGCCCCTCACTGGAGCTGGCGTGCCCCATGGAGACATTGGTGGCACCACTGGGGCAGCTTTGCGCGTCGCTGAAAGTGCCCAAGCCATAACAAGCCGAGAGCTTGCTTCCGGGCGCGGCTGTTGGCTTGTTGTGCTTGGCAATCTTGGCATTGAGGTTGGTGGAGTTGCCAACCCGCCGAGCTTGTCAGACTCATTCAGACTCCCTGCCCAGAGCAAGGCCCGTCGGCGATTCACGCCGCATTGATGCCATTGCCAATGGCATGCAGCATGCATGCTCATGTGGCATGGCGCCCAGCTCGCGGTCGACGCCGCGATCGTCTGCCCACTCACCCGAATGCATCATAATGCATCATGTGGTTGGCGACACCGGCATCTCGCCGCAGTGAGCGGGAGCGGCAGGCAGAACAATGGGATTCCAAGGTGAATTCAAGCGAGGTGGGCCGTGCAGTGACGACGCGGGCCGCGCACAGTCCTGCTGGTGAATCGAGCAAGGCAGGCATCGAGCTCTCGCAACAAAGTTCGCAGGCAGAAACCCTCGACGAGGGACACGGCACCCTGCCAGCCACGAGTGTTGTCAAGCTGTGGCTCGTCTTGGACGAGCGGGCGCGGCTCCTCTCCGTGAATCTGCCGGAAAACGTCGTGACAGGACGGGGGTTCAAAGCCAACGGCGGACGGAGGGTCGCGAGCAGTTTGAAATGGCAGCAACTCTGATATTTCGCTTGTTGTTTCTGTGCCCTGGACAAGTCGAAGAGCGAAAGGGCGGTGGCGCCTGAGCCGGGCTGGGAGAGTGTCGGCCAAGGATGCCCTACAGACCGCTGGCGCATGACGGACCGCACTGAGCAGGCCTAGGCCGCGACATGGCGCAGGGCTAACTGCACACGAGCGACGACTTGCCCAGGTAACCCTACAGCGGCGTCCGCAAACAGGAGAAAGTTAAGGCACCTTAACACTGCCGCATCATAACGAACTGCATACGCGTGTGTGCTGGCAAGGGGCACATCGCGGAGAGATCGGCAGTTGGTTGAGGAAAGTGGCCTGCCGCTCCAGATTTTGCTGTAATTGTGCCTCGCCGAACGGTGCCCCAAGAAAACGAGTCCACGCTGGGCAAACACCCGATGCAGGAGGTGGTTGAGAAAACATGCAGGCCATCGGGAGCGACCCCGGCTCCTTTCCAGATAGCTGTCTTGGACAAGTTCAGGCAGAAGCGGGTGTGAAACTCGAGCTGGCGCTCAAGCCGCCGGATCAGATCCACGGCTCGCTGCGGCCTGGCAAGAATGGCAATGTCATCCAAGTGCGCGAGGGTGCGTTCGACAAGATCGGGTCGGACATCAAGGCTGCACTCAAGCCTGAGCTGAACAACGCTGGGCTCAAGTGGTCACAGTGTTCCACTCCTTCGTGCGCCCGTCTTGTCGCCGACATGTCGACGTGCGACCCAGCCACAAGTGCACGAACGGCATCGAACGGCAAGAGCGCCGACGCCTCGGGAACCTCCGTCAGCTCACGCAACACCGTCTGACGGCTGATGCCGTCACAGACGGCAGCGGCATGAACGGACACGATTGTGAGCTGGGGGTCTGCTGCACAACGAGCCTGCATTTCATGGATCAAGACCTCGGTCCCGACGCGACTTTTGAGTGCGTTCTGGTTCGGGCGGCACGCATCTGCAAAGGGGCCCGCAAACTGTTGTGCTTGCGGAGTGTGACGACACGCCCAAGTCCAAGGGCTGGCGGAATGTCGTTTGGGACGCGGGCACACGCAAGTTGGGAGGCGACATCGGAAAGTGACCGAGCACAACACGGAGAATTTCCGGATGGGCGTGGAGCAGCCCCTTGTGCACACGGGCGAAGTTTGGCAAGGAGTGCAACACGAACGTGTTTTGGGTGGGGGGTACGGTTTTTTTTCGCACCTTGTTGCTCCTGCTAGTCGACGATACGTACAGCTCTTCCACGGGCGCTGCCTGCTCTGTAAGGCCGCCATGGCGGGCGGCTCTGTCCCTCCGGGCAGCGTGGTGAAGGTTGCCGTCCAGCGGCGGGCCTGCGCCTGCCTGCGGCCCGCCCCGCATGAGCTCCGGGTAGCTCAGCCACTTGCAGCGCGGCTCCGTCGACAGCCGCAACACATCGCCCCAGCTGCTGAGCGCCCCATACACGGCAAGGTCGAGCTAGCGACGGCCCTGCGGGCCAACATTCGGGGCGGTGGTGTGGCCCAGCGGCTGCTGTGGAACGACCTGCGGGCAACCCGCCCAGCTTCGCTCCACGACCTTGGCCCGCCTGGCGAGGAGTCCAGTGCGCAAGCACGCGAATGCGTGATCGCCGAAGCCGTCAACTGTTCCCAGCCATGGGGTGGCCCAGGAGCTGCTACGCATCGGCAGCAGAGGCTGTCGCAGGCGGCGCCTCAAGGTGATCTGCATAGGGTGCGGTGGGAGCGTTGTTGCCGCCGCATGCCTGCGGTCCAGCTTGGGATCGCAAGAGCGTTTGAAAACTGGGCGGCATGTTGGGCAGCACCACGGGGTACTCGACTCGGAGGTCGGGGGCCGCTGGGGCAGGAGAGCCCTATAGCTCCAAGCAGTAGCCGGAGCAAGGCGCAAAACCGGACAAGCGCACGCTCGTGAACCGCATTTTTGTTCATGCGCCTTTTTGCCGTCGCAAGCTAAGCAAGATCCAGGTCCCGGTGCCAACTGCAGCATCGAATCACACGAAGCCGGGGAAGTGCGCAAGCAGCTGCATTATTTTGTCGGCGTGGTGTGGTGGCAGCCTCCACTGGCATGGCTGTTAATCAGGTATGCGGCCTGTGTGCCGGCCGGCTTGGAAACGCAGAAACGCTCGGCAACCTCACTGGAATTCCAAACACAGGTTTTGCTGGCAACAAACACCCGCACACGTCTCCTCCCCGGTCTGCGCAACGTGCGACATTGCACGTGCCGATGCCGTCCACGGACAAGCTTCAAGACAGTGCAGCTTGCATCCGCTTCGGTTTCAAACTGGAGCCTGTTCGCTCTCGCTTGGACAAGCCAAACTGGCGACGCTGGGCAAACGCGTGGATGCCGGCTGCGGGCGCGGGCGAGCGGAAGCAGTGCCACGCCGCAGAATTCGGCATCGTCTCGGAGCAGGCGTTCGACGTCGGCTGTGAGACCGCTGGTGCCGGGCGCAGGACCTGCGGCGTGAACAAGGGAAGTTGGCAGGGCTGCCACCAGCCCGACGCGCTTCAGCGACGACAACAGACGGCTGGCATCGGCTGGCCGGGTACCCGGCGCATTGGTCGGAGGCTAAAAGGAAGGATGCGTTTCTAATTCGCGTCTCCAGGGGGGCGCAGGGCTCTGGAGGCGGGGGAGCTGGACTGAGCACGGAGGCTCAGCCGGTGCGAGGGTCGGAGGTGTGCTCATGCGCGGCATTGGAGGTGATGGAGGCGCGCCTGCCTGTTGCACAAGCTCGGATGCGGCAGCAGGTGCACGGAAGCGTTGGCTGGCAGAGTGCTTGAGGCGCTGTGGCTCAGGCTTCCGGCAGGGGCCATGGCTGCGGGTTGTTGCGTTTCTGGAAGAGGTTCGAGCTTGGAATAGGATACTGGCCGCTAACTGCTGGATTTGACAAGCATGAGCGATATGCAGAAACTGGACAAAGAAGTCATGTGGCGCGAACGATAACCGTGTAGGGAGTGCGAGTCAGATGTAGTCCCGTATGTGCAAAACTCTCGGATTCGGGTCGTGCGTTGGTGGGACAGTCTTTCTCGACTGCCCGTTGCTTCTCTGTTGTATGACTTCAAAAACTGATCCTGGTGCTGGGTGGTTGTAGTAACTGTTCAAGACAAGTAGGAGTGCTTGGCGAAGAGGACTTTCAAGGACTCCAGCCCTGAAGCAACATGTCGAACATACCTTCTGCATGTTTCTGTTGCTTCAATGCAAGGCCAAGCACCCGGTCCGTTACATAATGCACATGACGGGTCCACTGTCAAGGAGGCCGAGATTCACCTGCGCCCCCCACCCTCTGCATCACGCCTCGGCCTCAACTTACGAACATGTCTACTTCCCGGAGACCATCAACGGAAAGAATCGGGCTGCTTCTTTTCGCCGCTCCCGACTCCGGATCATCTGTTCAGCGGCAGTACAAGTGTGGTCAGCATCCTTTCTGCCGGAGCATACCCTGGACCTAACTCACGGGTCAGCTCACAAAGGATGAAACCCAGTTGGTGGGTGGAGGAGGAAAGACCCAGCTACCCATACCCACCTTGAATCAAGCTTCTGAGGTACAATCTCTAAGGCCTAACACTCGGAGAAGCCCAAAACTCGAAACCTGCACCTCGACTAGATTCTGGAGGCTGATGCGGAAGTGGAGACTCTACTAGGTCTGGTCAGACCTGCATGGCTTGATGCAGCTGATGCGTGTATTAACTAACGAAGACACTGCATATATAACACCCAGCCAAGTTATTTGAACCGCTGCCCGGCTTCTTTCGAATTTCGAATCTGCTGGCCACTGTTCGGAAAGCAGTGCCACTTCGAGTGGACTACGGGGAAGGTCTAAGCTCACTCATCTCCTTTGCAGCCCTTCTCTGCCGCGTACCTGGCCCAACCGCACACTAAGTTCTGCAGAGAGCCCGAGCCCCAGTATAACAACGGTAACAGTAATAATAAGTAATAACAGTAATAATACAATAATAATAAGAAGAATACCAATAATAATGACAAGAAGAAGAAGAAGAATATTAATAACAGTCATAACAATGATAATAATAACAAGAACAACACCGAAGCATAAAACTGCAAGGTATCGGGAGACCAAGTCGGCCAACTCCCCAAAAGCTCCTTTTCCCTTCTTGCTATGTCTTCGAGGTTTCAGAAATTTAGGGACCCACCATATCCACTGAAATATACACCAATTCCAGTGAAATACACACCAAGCCGGTGGCGATTCAAGTCGTCCCGACACCTAGTCCCTAGTGATATAATACAGAGCCTTAACAAAAGAAAAATCCTGAACATGAGGACCCCGAAAAGGAGCCCCTAAGCCCAACTTCGTTCCAAAACCCGCAGATCTTATGGTGATCTTCCGTTGGATTCTCCGGGCGCATGTAGTGCAGCTTGTTGACATCTTCCCCTCCAATGACCTGGCGACACGCTGCAGAGTGCGACGATTCAACCCCAAGCACACCAACGACAAGAAGAGTGATAGGAAGAAGAAGAGTAATTATGGTTGTGAACATAGACAGTCTAATGATCTTCGTTTGCAGACACTGAGCTCTACAAGGTTGCAGAAAGCTCTCTCTCGCTTTGAATACCCTCGGCCTAATTCACAACTTTACGAGATTGGGAGAAGGCTGCTACACATCTGGAGCCGAACTCCTACAGCAAGGCATCAGCCTTCTGTGCAGCTCTGGATGAGCAAAGATGCTGCAGTTTCACAGCTGCATGGAGACATAGACTAAAAAGCCGAAGGAGTTGAAGACGATGCCAAAACTCTTTGAACTGAAAGCGATTGCAGCACCATCCAGGAACTCTGCAGCTCCCGAATTGGAAAGTGTGCGCATCTTACCGGGGCCGTGCGCGCCTTCGTCCAGCCCTTCTCGTGGACCTCTGGCACATGCTGCTCTTGCTGTTGAAAAGTCTGGTGAGGTTTTTGCTGGCCGGTCTGAGGTGCAGGGCTTTGGGTTGAGGCTTATAATGGGGCAGTCTGGACTTCACTCAAGGATCTCAAGAACTGGTGCTGCGCAGTTCGACTATGCATAGTTGCGGAGGCCAGTCATGAAGCTGGGGGCCAGGAATCCAGTGGATTGCAGCCGCCACCCAACCCTACACCCAAGACCACTAAACCCTGAACCCATAAAACCACGTCGTCACGACTTGACCGAAGTCCCAGCAA